TATTAGTTTCTCCAGAGGGATCCGGGAGGGAGGTGAGTCTAGCCACGTGCAGGGGAGCAAGCTTCGTATCCTAGAATCATCTAGAGTATAACAGTGCTTAGTGTATCCATTGAAATAATTACCAGATGAGTATGAAATTGTAAATTTTGAAATTAGATAAAAAATTTCTGATAATTCTTTGATTTATTTGAAACGCAAGGATATATTTTTCAAGCAGTTTATATAGTCCACCACCATGTTCAAACATGCGCCCCTCAACTCGTTATATCGATTGAGGGCCACGTTTTGGTACATCAGTATACTGTTTGATACGTCACTCTAGGAGTGACTTCTGCATTATGTTGATATTTTGTGTGCGACTTGTGAATCTGAAGCTTGCTCTAGACATGTCGCTTGTAAGCAAACGATATTAATTGTTAATGCTACAACGTCCAGGCGAAATGTAACAACTGTGAAACCGAATGGTGAGTTGTAATACATTGCGGGAGCAAGCAAATTGAAAATGCACTTATAAAGTACTGTTGGTGTTTACACTAGCACTGTGGTCTTAGATGATTCTAGGATGCAAAGCTTACTTCACCTAGAACATATGAGTTCCCTGTATGTGGCTGGACTCACCTCCCTCCCACTTGCACTGTTCAAGATGATTTCATGAGCACATCCTGGGAATTAAAAGGTAATTATGGTAAAGGATAATGACAGCTGTAGCTACAATATTAAATTGATTTGTGAAAATCGGTCGATGTGAAGCTTCCTTAAGCCAAACCCTAATAATACTGTACCACTCGAACTTCGAGAATTTTCTAAATGAATCTAGACTAAAGGAACCAACTTGAATCCATACAATTTTGAATGCTAAAGTTTAAAATACCGCTTTATATTATCACCATTCACCAGACACTATAGCTGGAGAGGGATTGTTTGTCCCAGTTTTGGTCGTCACCATGACAACTGAACTTGTTTTTACAGAATTGCGGATTTATATAGTAAATTTGGTCAAATCGGGCGACCAATTTTAACTAGCTAGATTTGGCGCCAAATTTAAAATATGGTCGTTCAGTCGCCATACGACCAAAAAAAACTAGCGCGGCACTTGCTAGATAGTTAAAATATGGTCGTTCAGTCGCCATACGACCATAAAAAACTAGCGCGGCAGAAAAACTATTTATTTGCTAATTGGAAATTATTTGCGTGTGAACGACCAATTATTGGTCGTATGGAACTAATAAAAACAAAAGTTTGATACATCAAACTGGGCAATCTTGTGTGATTGGTCGGCTTGGAGATGGCTAGATAGTTAAGGATCTTGACCTGGGACCCTGGGGAGGGGGATGTTATTATGGGACTCAATGCAGCGTGTTATAAGTGCTGCCCTGGGGAGGGGGATGTTATTATGGGACTCAATGCAGCGTGTTGCTTCTTCATAATACTGCTCCTTCATAATATTGGGTGTTGTGGTGCGCGCATTGTGTATAATTGATAAGCAGGGTATCTATTAAAAAACCATAACTTTTAACTCGAATGTACAAAAATATATATCTTAATTACATCATGACTCGCACAGTTCACTGACTTTAACCGAAGTGCCATGACTGTCAAATGACCGTCAAGGTGCCATGATCTGTGTAGTAGACTACCCGTCTGGATATCAGTCAGACAATCTAATTTAGTCTATAACTCTATTAACCTATCTACGTAGAATAGCCACTATCTAGTCTGTAGGTTTGTCTGGCAAGTTTTACTTCAGTAGTACTGTATATGATGACGGTTTTTATTGGTTTATGCCCTATAGTCTATACTATGCCAAGACATACTATGAGTTATATAATGGACTGCGTGCTCCCGATTTAGAGCACATTGAATCATAGGATATAATGGTCCCTAGAGTAAATGGTATTGTTTGTAGAACCTGTACAAGTGTTATTAGGTCATGCTTGGGTCTGTAATGATTCTATACCGATTTCAACAAATGAATTGAAAGTGCAATACTGAATATGGTGATGTAATAAAATATTACTTAGTGTTTTGTTTCGTAATGCATCCGACTTGAATCCTTTCTTAATTATTCCGGATGTTGTGACAGATTCCTGTTAGATTGACAAATACGTCATGACTTGAGTTCAAACTCTTCAAACATTACAGAAGGTACAGCAATGATACAATTATACACATCATGGCCACAGTCAGTAGCATCCAAATTGGTGTACCGGACTCTTTCCCACTTAACTCAAGTTCTCGTGGTGTACCGGACTCTTTCTCCACTTAACTCAAGTTCTCGTGAACTCCTAATCACGTGACCACACACACACACTCACACTCACCTCGTGTACTCTGAATGTGTAACATTTCCAGCAGACAATCATCATATTATCATTACATGCTCCTTTATAATATCGTTTGATAACACACTAATCAAGCGATAATTTCAAATTGGACGATGATTACACTGCTTTCCAATCGTATAATTTCCCCTACATCGCACAGTTGTAATATAATTATACCTTCCACAGAAAGCCTGAGTATGACTTAACGGGACAAATATATTGTACAAATTAAGCAAAACTTTTAATTAAAAGTCAAGTTCTGAGTCCCCGTTCGATTGTCCTACACGTTTTACAACACTTACTGACGTAACCAAACCTAGCAGTTTTGCCAGGCTAGTAGATGAAGTGATTATTCGCTCCTTCATGATACATGCGCCCCTTCATAATAATACTACATATTGATTGTGTAAGATATGTCTGCTTTGTAACTGGAGATGACGAGAGGGTACACGTAGATGGACCGTGTAGATTATCTTTACTATCGTATCCTGTAAGTCCTGTATATTAGGAAGTATTATTGTACATCCGGGGGGCTCAGATTCCGAGCAGCAGGTTACACTTCTGGGAGTGCTCCTTCATAATACTACACTTCTGGGATTATCATAGTGATATATGTAATATGTATGTGTGTATATTAGGATGCTATAAATGGGGACTAACTTGCCATCCCAATAAATGTTATAGATTTGTAGTGTTGTAATTAGTTTAAACACATGTGTGTGTGAGTAAAGATGGTTGATATGTTGCCAAGATTTGGAATCTGATTTGTGATGTCAGATATAATATATTATGCGGCTTTCTCTTAGGTGTTCAGAGTAATGTTTCAGTTCCATATTATACTGAATACATGTGTTGATTTGTGGCTGTGAAATAAGTTTAACGGAAGGGCTGAATGAATTATCCAAGAACTACAGGTTTAACGCACATTTACAGATTTAAAATGAGCATATATTCAATAACATTTATTATAGAATAACATTTCCCCCGCCCGCAACAAATAATTGTACGTGTAATCCCTCTCAGCTCCTCTCTCCAAGCTGGCCTACATTCCTGCACAACGTGATCTCCTCAACTGATTAGGTCATGTAACTCTTCAATTAGACACCCTAACTTACACCCCTCCACAATATCCACTGTGTCCAACGACCATCTACCACATGCCTTTAACATAATAATAAGCAGTGTTATCGATAACAAATATGTGGACCTCCATAACCTACATGCCCATGGCGTTGACACACGTAATTGGTGTTCAGCTTTCAGCTGTTAGACTTTAGGGTGCACATCTGGTAGAAAGTAACATGGTTAATGTGCTCCTTCATAATTTCATTAATTGCAATAAATGAGGAGGGATATTGACAGACTGGATTGCTTTATTTTGGAATGTCCTGGCTGTCGATATTATAATTTCGCACATTCTTGATGACCTTATATTTTAGTTGTTGAGATAAATAGGCACGAAAATTGTAGTCGAATGTTAAAATTTGACTAAAATATTTGCTCACTGCAATATAAACGTTTGGTGCTCCCTGGCCCCAAAACATGACGCCTACACTAATGATCCCGGGTACGTGACCCAGATTTTCGCTCCGTGTTTGGTATGTCTGGCACGACAGGTTTTGGCAGGCGACATATTTGTTTATAATAAAATGTTGGATATTTACTAAATATTTAAATGAATGTTTGGAATTTAAAGTTGAACGTTATTGTCCAGAGATAACTATCACTACTCACGATCAAGTTTCGTGATAACTTGATAAGTAAGCAGACGCTAGACAAAGTTGTAGCTGTGCTAAGAGATATGTATCTGTGCTAGGAGATATATCATCAGGGGATACAAGTGTGACTTGATCATTCCTTAGGATTATTAATGTGTGATTTGTATTATCACATACCAAGTGTTATCACATACCAAGTTTAATCACATATTATAATAGTTACGCGAATATGTTTTATTTGTGAAATCCTCCCGCTCGTACAAATGGTAGAACTGAGATTGCCATGAAATGCATACTTTCTCTATACAATCCCATACAACCTGTCAATGTTACAAGAAGTTACCTAGTTTTTAACATTGAAGTATAGCAAACACATGTTTCGAGAAGTTTTCTGCTGTTAAACATATTAGTGTAACTAACACTGTTAATATTTCAGCTGGCAGGACATGAGAACGGTCTGGAGAGTGCGGCTTCCGCATCAAAACAACTCGCTCTTCAAAACCTTATCTTAAATGGCAGCCGTCGTACTGAGGTAGAGCACTACTTGGCGCTTTCCTCCTTTTTCCCTTGCTCTTTTCCCCCTTTTTCTTTAATCAGTCCCTTCTTCCATACTCTCGTACCTTATTCTTTGTTCCATTTCCCTTGTCTCTCTTATCCCTTAGAATACACCCTTTATCGAGGATTGCTCTCAACAAATAAGATATAATTACATGCTCTCACCCCTTTAAACTTTGACAATTGGGAGAGTGTAAACATAAAATAGCGCTCACATTATATTCCTTTTAAGTTTAATGCAATATTCAGTGACTTAACATCCATGTTTGAAATGGCACATGTAAATTTAGCCCTTATTTAGACCGAGGTCCGTGAAAATTCGCAATGTCATATTGAGTCGTCCCTTTGACATTGCGTATTACAAAGCTGAAAGCAATCTATATTACTTTTAACTTTCAGAGCGTATCAATCGAGACACTACTGGATGTGTTTCTGTTACTCTTCAGGGAATGCGAGGGTAACATCAAGAATGACAAGAACATGGAGATATTTGTGCAGAACAGTAAGTTTTAAGATTATTATCATATTATGTTGGCCATTAGTTTCTGTTAAGCAAGTCATCGACAAATTGACGGCAATCAAGCATGTTGACCTGTTTATATTACTTGTTAATATCGGGAACATTAGAGAGAACGCGCGCGCCAGAAACTAGTTGATTTTGTTCCGACTTCAATGTAAAGTTTGATAGTTAGCACTCACAAAAGCTCGCGACAGCGCGCGCGCAAAATTATTGACTGAGAACGTTTACGCTGATTCATTATTCATGACACATTCAGATAAAACTGACCAAGTATCAACCCAACAAAGCGACTATAGAAGTTCTAAATCTTCACATTTTCAGTGAAACCATTCTACGATAAAATCACGAAGCACTGTTTCTGTCAGGCTGATTTCGATACCTTGGCTGTCATTGGAAGAGGTGCATTTGGAGAGGTAAAATCCGCTATTTTTGTCTGCAAAGTTACCATGCACAAATTAGCCAAATGCTAAATAAGGCTACGATTCCTCACCTACCTGATGAATTTATCCACTCCTATTACATAAGGACCTTCTTTATTTGAGACAACATAATCCTGGGTATTATTTGTCCCCTAAAGTCTATAATGTTATCCACATTTAACATGTATGTTAGGTATTAATCTTTAACATTTTTCATAATCCAGGTCCGTGTGGTGCGAATGAAGACCAGCCAGAAGATCTATGCGATGAAAGTGCTGAACAAGTGGGAGATGTTGCGCCGTGAACAGTCTGCTTGCTTTAAAGAAGAGAGGGACGTACTGGTGTTCGGTGATAGGAACTGGATTACTCAACTACACTACACATTCCAAGATGAAACCAACCTGGTATGTTGCATACTGATCGTTCTTATGATCAATGAATATCTAGACATATGAGAAGGAACATAGTGCTTACATACTCGGTGTATCTTGAAAAAAAGACCTCACATTTACAAATTGGTAATGGGCTGCTAACCTTTAACAAACACTCTCTCAGTACCTTGTAATGGACTGCTAACCTTTAACAAACACTCTCTCAGTACCTTGTAATGGGCTGCTAACCTTTAACAAACACTCTCTCAGTACCTTGTAATGGGCTGCTAACCTTTAACAAACACTCTCTCAGTACCTTGTAATGGGCTGCTAACCTTTAACAAACACTCTCTCAGTACCTTGTAATGGGCTGCTAACCTTTAACAAACACTCTCTCAGTACCTTGTAATGGGCTGCTAACCTTTAACAAACACTCTCTCAGTACCTTGTAATGGGCTGCTAACCTTTAACAAACACTCTCTCAGTACCTTGTAATGGGCTGCTAACCTTTAACAAACACTCTCTCAGTACCTTGTAATGGGCTGCTAACCTTTAACAAACACTCTCTCAGTACCTTGTAATGGGCTGCTAACCTTTAACAAACACTCTCTCAGTACCTTGTAATGGGCTGCTAACCTTTAACAAACACTCTCTCAGTACCTTGTAATGGCTGCTAACCTTTAACAAACACTCTCTCAGTACCTTGTAATGGGCTGCTAACCTTTAACAAACACTCTCTCAGTACCTTGTTATGGGCTGCTAACCTTTAACAAACACTCTCTCAGTACCTTGTAATGGGCTGCTAACCTTTAACAAACACTCTCTCAGTACCTTGTAATGGGCTGCTAACCTTTAACAAACACTCTCTCAGTACCTTGTAATGGGCTGCTAACCTTTAACAAACACTCTCTCAGTACCTTGTAATGGGCTGCTAACCTTTAACAAACACTCTCTCAGTACCTTGTAATGGCTGCTAACCTTTAACAAACACTCTCTCAGTACCTTGTAATGGGCTGCTAACCTTTAACAAACACTCTCTCAGTACCTTGTAATGGGCTGCTAACCTTTAACAAACACTCTCTCAGTACCTTGTAATGGGCTGCTAACCTTTAACAAACACTCTCTCAGTACCTTGTAATGGGCTGCTAACCTTTAACAAACACTCTCTCAGTACCTTGTAATGGGCTGCTAACCTTTAACAAACACTCTCTCAGTACCTTGTAATGGGCTGCTAACCTTTAACAAACACTCTCTCAGTACCTTGTAATGGGCTGCTAACCTTTAACAAACACTCTCTCAGTACCTTGTAATGGGCTGCTAACCTTTAACAAACACTCTCTCAGTACCTTGTAATGGGCTGCTAACCTTTAACAAACACTCTCTCAGTACCTTGTAATGGGCTGCTAACCTTTAACAAACACTCTCTCAGTACCTTGTAATGGGCTGCTAACCTTTAACAAACACTCTCTCAGTACCTTGTAATGGCTGCTAACCTTTAACAAACACTCTCTCAGTACCTTGTAATGGGCTGCTAACCTTTAACAAACACTCTCTCAGTACCTTGTAATGGGCTGCTAACCTTTAACAAACACTCTCTCAGTACCTTGTAATGGACTGCTAACCTTTAACAAACACTCTCTCAGTACCTTGTAATGGGCTGCTAACCTTTAACAAACACTCTCTCAGTACCTTGTAATGGCTGCTAACCTTTAACAAACACTCTCTCAGTACCTTGTAATGGGCTGCTAACCTTTAACAAACACTCTCTCAGTACCTGGTAATGGCTGTCTAACCTTTTTTTTTTTTTTTTTTTTTTTTTTTTTTTTTTTTTTTTTTTTTTTTTTTTTTTTTTTTTTTTTTTTTTTTTTTTTTTTTTTTTTTTTTTTTTTTTTTTTTTTTTTTTTTTTTTTTTTTTTTTTTTTTTTTTTTTTTTTTTTTTTTTTTTTTTTTTTTTTTTTTTTTTTTTTTTTTTTTTTTTTTTTTTTTTTTTTTTTTTTTTTTTTTTTTTTTTTTTTTTTTTTTTTTTTTTTTTTTTTTTTTTTTTTTTTTTTTTTTTTTTTTTTTTTTTTTTTTTTTTTTTTTTTTTTTTTTTTTTTTTTTTTTTTTTTTTTTTTTTTTTTTTTTTTTTTTTTTTTTTTTTTTTTTTTTTTTTTTTTTTTTTTTTTTTTTTTTTTTTTTTTTTTTTTTTTTTTTTTTTTTTTTTTTTTTTTTTTTTTTTTTTTTTTTTTTTTTTTTTTTTTTTTTTTTTTTTTTTTTTTTTTTTTTTTTTTTTTTTTTTTTTTTTTTTTTTTTAATGGGCTGCTAACCTTTAACAAACACTCTCTCAGTACCTTGTAATGGCTGCTAACCTTTAACAAACACTCTCTCAGTACCTTGTAATGGGCTGCTAACCTTTAACAAACACTCTCTCAGTACCTTGTAATGGGCTGCTAACCTTTAACAAACACTCTCTCAGTACCTTGTAATGGGCTGCTAACCTTTAACAAACACTCTCTCAGTACCTTGTAATGGGCTGCTAACCTTTAACAAACACTCTCTCAGTACCTTGTAATGGGCTGCTAACCTTTAACAAACACTCTCTCAGTACCTTGTAATGGGCTGCTAACCTTTAACAAACACTCTCTCAGTACCTTGTAATGGGCTGCTAACCTTTAACAAACACTCTCTCAGTACCTTGTAATGGGCTGCTAACCTTTAACAAACACTCTCTCAGTACCTTGTAATGGGCTGCTAACCTTTAACAAACACTCTCTCAGTACCTTGTAATGGGCTGCTAACCTTTAACAAACACTCTCTCAGTACCTTGTAATGGGCTGCTAACCTTTAACAAACACTCTCTCAGTACCTTGTAATGGGCTGCTAACCTTTAACAAACACTCTCTCAGTACCTTGTAATGGCTGCTAACCTTTAACAAACACTCTCTCAGTACCTTGTAATGGGCTGCTAACCTTTAACAAACACTCTCTCAGTACCTTGTAATGGGCTGCTAACCTTTAACAAACACTCTCTCAGTACCTTGTAATGGGCTGCTAACCTTTAACAAACACTCTCTCAGTACCTTGTAATGGGCTGCTAACCTTTAACAAACACTCTCTCAGTACCTTGTAATGGGCTGCTAACCTTTAACAAACACTCTCTCAGTACCTTGTAATGGGCTGCTAACCTTTAACAAACACTCTCTCAGTACCTTGTAATGGGCTGCTAACCTTTAACAAACACTCTCTCAGTACCTTGTAATGGGCTGCTAACCTTTAACAAACACTCTCTCAGTACCTTGTAATGGGCTGCTAACCTTTAACAAACACTCTCTCAGTACCTTGTAATGGGCTGCTAACCTTTAACAAACACTCTCTCAGTACCTTGTAATGGGCTGCTAACCTTTAACAAACACTCTCTCAGTACCTTGTAATGGGCTGCTAACCTTTAACAAACACTCTCTCAGTACCTTGTAATGGGCTGCTAACCTTTAACAAACACTCTCTCAGTACCTTGTAATGGGCTGCTAACCTTTAACAAACACTCTCTCAGTACCTTGTAATGGGCTGCTAACCTTTAACAAACACTCTCTCAGTACCTTGTAATGGGCTGCTAACCTTTAACAAACACTCTCTCAGTACCTTGTAATGGGCTGCTAACCTTTAACAAACACTCTCTCAGTACCTTGTAATGGGCTGCTAACCTTTAACAAACACTCTCTCAGTACCTTGTAATGGGCTGCTAACCTTTAACAAACACTCTCTCAGTACCTTGTAATGGGCTGCTAACCTTTAACAAACACTCTCTCAGTACCTTGTAATGGGCTGCTAACCTTTAACAAACACTCTCTCAGTACCTTGTAATGGGCTGCTAACCTTTAACAAACACTCTCTCAGTACCTTGTAATGGGCTGCTAACCTTTAACAAACACTCTCTCAGTACCTTGTAATGGGCTGCTAACCTTTAACAAACACTCTCTCAGTACCTTGTAATGGGCTGCTAACCTTTAACAAACACTCTCTCAGTACCTTGTAATGGGCTGCTAACCTTTAACAAACACTCTCTCAGTACCTTGTAATGGGCTGCTAACCTTTAACAAACACTCTCTCAGTACCTTGTAATGGGCTGCTAACCTTTAACAAACACTCTCTCAGTACCTTGTAATGGGCTGCTAACCTTTAACAAACACTCTCTCAGTACCTTGTAATGGGCTGCTAACCTTTAACAAACACTCTCTCAGTACCTTGTAATGGGCTGCTAACCTTTAACAAACACTCTCTCAGTACCTTGTAATGGCTAACCTTTACAAACACTCTCAGTACCTTGTAATGGCGCTACCTTTAACAAAACTCTCTCAGTACCTTGTAATGGGCTGCTAACCTTTAACAATCACTCTCAGTACCTTGTAATGTGCTAACTTTTAACAAACATCTCAGTACTTTTAATGGCTGCTAACTTTACTACACTCTTAGTCTTGTATGGGCTGCTAACTTTATCCTATCATACCTGGTAATGGGCTGCTACTTTAACACTTCCACCTTCTAAGTACCTGTAAGTTTAATGATTTTAATGGGCTGCTAACCTTTAACAAACTCTTCATACTTGTAATGGCGCTACTTTAACATACACTCTCTCAGTACCTTGTACATTATGCGCTACTTTATACAAAACTTTCTCTCAGTAAAATGGCTGCCAACCCCTTTAACAACACCCTAACTTCTCTGAGTAACCGTGTAATGGGCTGCTTTAACCAAAACACTCCAGTAACTTGTAATGGTGCTAATCCTCTTAACAAACACTGTCTGCTTACCCTTTAGAGAGTCTAACCTAGACAAACACTCTCTCATACCTTGTAAATGCTGCTAACTTTTCCAAACACTCTCTCAGTACCTGTAAGGGGGTGCTAACCTTTAAAAAACCCTTAACCTTGTTTAAAGGCTGCTAATTTTAACAAAAAAACCCCCCTCAGTACCTTGTAATGGGGCTAACCTTTAACAAAACACTCCTCAGTTTTCCCTTTTAATGGCCTAACCTTTAAAAAACCCTCTTCAGACTTTTTAATGGGCTGCTAACCCTTAAAAAACACTCTCTCGACCTTGTAAAGGGTGCAAAACCTTAAACAAACCTCTCTCATACTGAATGGGGGCTAACCTTTAACAAACACTCTCTCAGTACCTTGTAATGGGCTGCTAACCTTTAACAAACACTCTCTCAGTACCTTGTAATGGGCTGCTAACCTTTAACAAACACTCTCTCAGTACCTTGTAATGGGCTGCTAACCTTTAACAAACACTCTCTCAGTACCTTGTAATGGGCTGCTAACCTTTAACAAACACTCTCTCAGTACCTTGTAATGGGCTGCTAACCTTTAACAAACACTCTCTCAGTACCTTGTAATGGGCTGCTAACCTTTAACAAACACTCTCTCAGTACCTTGTAATGGGCTGCTAACCTTTAACAAACACTCTCTCAGTACCTTGTAATGGGCTGCTAACCTTTAACAAACACTCTCTCAGTACCTTGTAATGGGCTGCTAACCTTTAACAAACACTCTCTCAGTACCTTGTAATGGGCTGCTAACCTTTAACAAACACTCTCTCAGTACCTTGTAATGGGCTGCTAACCTTTAACAAACACTCTCTCAGTACCTTGTAATGGGCTGCTAACCTTTAACAAACACTCTCAGTACCTTGTAATGGGCTGCTAACCTTTAACAAACACTCTCTCAGTACCTTGTAATGGGCTGCTAACCTTTAACAAACACTCTCTCAGTACCTTGTAATGGGCTGCTAACCTTTAACAAACACTCTCTCAGTACCTTGTAATGGGCTGCTAACCTTTAACAAACACTCTCTCAGTACCTTGTAATGGGCTGCTAACCTTTAACAAACACTCTCTCAGTACCTTGTAATGGGCTGCTAACCTTTAACAAACACTCTCTCAGTACCTTGTAATGGGCTGCTAACCTTTAACAAACACTCTCTCAGTACCTTGTAATGGGCTGCTAACCTTTAACAAACACTCTCTCAGTACCTTGTAATGGGCTGCTAACCTTTAACAAACACTCTCTCAGTACCTTGTAATGGGCTGCTAACCTTTAACAAACACTCTCTCAGTACCTTGTAATGGGCTGCTAACCTTTAACAAACACTCTCTCAGTACCTTGTAATGGGCTGCTAACCTTTAACAAACACTCTCTCAGTACCTTGTAATGGGCTGCTAACCTTTAACAAACACTCTCTCAGTACCTTGTAATGGGCTGCTAACCTTTAACAAACACTCTCTCAGTACCTTGTAATGGGCTGCTAACCTTTAACAAACACTCTCTCAGTACCTTGTAATGGGCTGCTAACCTTTAACAAACACTCTCTCAGTACCTTGTAATGGGCTGCTAACCTTTAACAAACACTCTCTCAGTACCTTGTAATGGGCTGCTAACCTTTAACAAACACTCTCTCAGTACCTTGTAATGGGCTGCTAACCTTTAACAAACACTCTCTCAGTACCTTGTAATGGGCTGCTAACCTTTAACAAACACTCTCTCAGTACCTTGTAATGGGCTGCTAACCTTTAACAAACACTCTCTCAGTACCTTGTAATGGGCTGCTAACCTTTAACAAACACTCTCTCAGTACCTTGTAATGGGCTGCTAACCTTTAACAAACACTCTCTCAGTACCTTGTAATGGGCTGCTAACCTTTAACAAACACTCTCTCAGTACCTTGTAATGGCTGCTAACCTTTAACAAACACTCTCTCAGTACCTTGTAATGGGCTGCTAACCTTTAACAAACACTCTCTCAGTACCTTGTAATGGGCTGCTAACCTTTAACAAACACTCTCTCAGTACCTTGTAATGGGCTGCTAACCTTTAACAAACACTCTCTCAGTACCTTGTAATGGGCTGCTAACCTTTAACAAACACTCTCTCAGTACCTTGTAATGGGCTGCTAACCTTTAACAAACACTCTCTCAGTACCTTGTAATGGGCTGCTAACCTTTAACAAACACTCTCTCAGTACCTTGTAATGGGCTGCTAACCTTTAACAAACACTCTCTCAGTATCTTGTAATGGGCTGCTAACCTTTAACAAACACTCTCTCAGTACCTTGTAATGGGCTGCTAACCTTTAACAAACACTCTCTCAGTACCTTGTAATGGGCTGCTAACCTTTAACAAACACTCTCTCAGTACCTTGTAATGGGCTGCTAACCTTTAACAAACACTCTCTCAGTACCTTGTAATGGGCTGCTAACCTTTAACAAACACTCTCTCAGTACCTTGTAATGGGCTGCTAACCTTTAACAAACACTCTCTCAGTACCTTGTAATGGGCTGCTAACCTTTAACAAACACTCTCTCAGTACCTTGTAATGGGCTGCTAACCTTTAACAAACACTCTCTCAGTACCTTGTAATGGGCTGCTAACCTTTAACAAACACTCTCTCAGTACCTTGTAATGGGCTGCTAACCTTTAACAAACACTCTCTCAGTACCTTGTAATGGGCTGCTAACCTTTAACAAACACTCTCTCAGTACCTTGTAATGGGCTGCTAACCTTTAACAAACACTCTCTCAGTACCTTGTAATGGGCTGCTAACCTTTAACAAACACTCTCTCAGTACCTTGTAATGGGCTGCTAACCTTTAACAAACACTCTCTCAGTACCTTGTAATGGGCTGCTAACCTTTAACAAACACTCTCTCAGTACCTTGTAATGGGCTGCTAACCTTTAACAAACACTCTCTCAGTACCTTGTAATGGGCTGCTAACCTTTAACAAACACTCTCTCAGTACCTTGTAATGGGCTGCTAACCTTAAACAAACACTCTCTCAGTACCTTGTAATGGGCTGCTAACCTTTAACAAACACTCTCTCAGTATCTTGTAATGGGCTGCTAACCTTTAACAAACACTCTCTCAGTACCTTGTAATGGGCTGCTAACCTTTAACAAACACTCTCTCAGTATCTTGTAATGGATTACTATTCGGGAGGAGATCTCATGACGGTACTCACAAAATTGACGACGTGTTTGACGAAGATATGACCCGGTTTTACATAGCTGAGATTATATTGGCATTAGATTCCATGCACAAACTGGAGTACATTCACAGGTAATAGACGTTCAATGTCGAATAGATTATGCTGGCTTTAAATTCCATGCTTAAAACTAATAGACTCGACGTTCAGTTTAGATAAGTTATAGCTGTACTGGAAGCCTTGCCTTAAATTCCATAAATAAGCTGAATAATATCAACTGGTAAAATTCTGTTAATATATAACAATATGTAACGAATTGTCAGCTATTAAGAAACATTATTCTGTTAATATATAACAATATGTAACGAATTGTCAGCTATTAAGAAACATTATTCTGTTAATATATAACAATATGTAACGAATTGTCAGCTATTAGACCCCCCCCCCCCCCCCCCCCCCCTTAAGAAACATTATTAAAGAGTTAAAGTTCTGGTACGGGTGGGATCACCGTCTTTAACATTTAATAGCCGCTTTGTTGTAAATATACGAAACTTGAAATGTACCAACCCGTATCAGTAGAGGAGCTCGGATTTATCTACCGCAACGTTCGGTCTGATTAATCGGTGATTGTCGGTGCTTTTGACCCAAAACGTGGTAAATTGTGCTATGGTGCTGAATGCACTCGTTCACAGTCCGATTATCGAAATTCAATGTCCAGACTTTAACTCCTTTCAGAGACGTCAAGCCTGACAATATACTAACAGACGTGAACGGACACATCCGACTAGCAGACTTTGGGTCCTGCCTGAAACTCCGGTCAGATGGTATGGCTCAGTGTAACCACGCAGTGGGTACACCTGACTACATAGCTCCAGAGATCTTACAGGTACTGGATTTTATTATTTAATTAAGTATCTAATTGATTGCTAATATAAAGTTTTAGTCACGTGCAGTAGCCTATAAATTGCTGAGGAATGTACTGACAAAGTGTCAAAGCACGGTTGTTTTATACTCCTTACTGTGAAACTCAATCAACTGAATGTTTTGTACTTGCATACATGCAAGATCAGTGGTTTTCACTAAAAATTTTGTCGTGTGCCTGAAAACAAATGTAGTTCAAATTAAATCCTGTCAGTAGCAAATACAGTATATTATACACATATTATACACATATTATTGCATGCGCTATTAGCTTAAACATATAATTTTGCTTTGCAGTTTGAATACAATTTTATTTAAAAAAACTATGCTCGTAATTAAACTATTGTGATCTTTAGATGAAAATCATTCATTTCCTGTTATGATAACAAAGTTGTTGGATGAACTTGTTCATGAATGAGTTTGTAAGCAACTTTCAATTTCTAAGGCATTGAATAACGAGACTAACAATGAATTGGTAAGAAGTTTGAAGGGTTGATCGTTTAATCAGGTTACTTATATCTGGGTCGTTGGACTGGAAACCTATTTCACTTTCACTTCTAAAAATAAAGAAAAAAATAAACTTTCACTTTCACCAATGCACTTCTTGTGGTTCATTACGTCCGAAAGATTTGGACCGAAATTAAAGATATGAATCAATGTTTTGTGTCCAATTATTTCGCACGTAAAGAACTTGGTTTACTTTCCTTCGGCCTTTATTTGAATGTGAAGTCGTGAGATCCTAATAAAGTGGGAAATGCTGCTAATCTCGCTGATCTTCTATCTGTGTGTTGACTATGTCTGCTGAGTGTTACCTTTACCAGGTTGTGTGATTTATGTACATTGTAGCTGCTATCATTGATTCTTTATCGCTGTTCTGTATCTGTCATCTGTGAATTATCAATATTATTAATCGTCGGCTGATATGGCGGGCTTGATTATCTGGGTTACCATGCTCGGTATCTTGGGATATTTTACCTTGAAGATTCTAGTCAGAGGTATCTTTAAGTAGCTAAACTTGGTTTAAATTCTCTCTCATTTTCAACTCAACTAAAAGTAAGATCTAACTGAACTTCCCCTCATCCCTTTAATTCAACTTTCCTCCCAGGCCCAAGAGGATGGTAAGGGATGTTATGGTATAGAATGCGACTGGTGGTCCCTGGGTATTGTAATGTATGAGATGCTGTATGGTGAGACTCCCTTCTATGCTGAGTCCCTTGTCGAGACTTACGGCAAAATCATGAACCACAGGGTAAGTCTCCAATGATGATCTGTATTCTGTTATACCATTTTTTCTTTCTTTCTGTTATCTATTTTTCACATTTGTAATCAATAATCTTGTATTTCTAACGTTTACCCTACTTACAGTCCAAGTTAGATTTCCCGGACGATGTGGAATTGTCAGCGGACGCTATAGATCTGATGAGGAGACTTATCTGTGATAAGGATGTGAGGTTGGGTAGAACGGGTATCTGGGAGTTCAAGCAGCACCCTTTCTTTGTGGGTATCGACTGGGACAACATCAGAAACAGTGAGTATCATGTTCTAATTAACATACTTTAAATGCGTTATTTTACTTTAACTTTTGCTATTTTACGAATGTTTCTAGCTTTTATAACTTTCTAACTTCATTTTATATATTAAATTCACCCGCCATATAAATATGTACTATAAACGATTCCTACCCCGTTGACCTCACGAATAACCTTCCCACCCAGCGGTTCCACCGTATGTTCCGGAAGTTACGGGCGAGACTGACACTTCTAACTTTGACGAGATAGATCCTAACGCTAAACTCCCGGAAAGTCAACCACCCCATAGTCACGCTGCCTTCAAGGGGCACCACCTTCCATTCGCGGGCTGGACTTTCTCTAATAACAGGTATAGATATACAACCACCCCATAGTCACGCTGCCTTCAAGGGGCACCACCTTCCATTCGCGGGCTGGACTTTCTCTAATAACAGGTATAGATATATAAACACCCCATAGTCACGCTGCCTTCAAGGGTCACCACCTCCCATTCGCGGGCTGGACTTTCTCTAATAACAGGTATAGATATATAAACCACCCCATAGTCACGCTGCCTTCAAGGGTCACCACCTTCCATTCGCGGGCTGGACTTTCTCTAATAACAGGTATAGATATAAAACCACCCCATAGTCACGCTGCCTTCAAGGGTCACCACCTTCCATTCGTGGGCTGGACTTTCTCTAATAACAGGTATAGATATATAAACACCCCATAGTCACGCTGCCTTCAAGGGGCACCACCTTCCATTCGCGGGCTGGACTTTCTCTAATAACAGGTATAGATATACAACCACCCCATAGTCACGCTGCCTTCAAGGGGCACCACCTTCCATTCGCGGGCTGGACTTTCTCTAATAACAGGTATAGATATATAACCACCCCATAGTTACGCTGCCTTCAAGGGGCACCACCTTCCATTCGTGGGCTGGACTTTCTCTAATAACAGGTATAGATATATAAACACCCCATAGTCACGCTGCCTTCAAGGGTCACCACCTTCCATTCGCGGGCTGGACTTTCTCTAATAACAGGTATAGATATATAAACCACCCCATAGTCACGCTGCCTTCAAGGGTCACCACCTTCCATTCGCGGGCTGGACTTTCTCTAATAACAGGTATAGATATATAAACCACCCCATAGTCACGCTGCCTTCAAGGGTCACCACCTTCCATTCGCGGGCTGGACTTTCTCTAATAACAGGTATAGATATATAAACACCCCTTAGTCACGCTGCCTTCAAGGGTCACCACCTTCCATTCGCGGGCTGGACTTTCTCTAATAACAGGTATAGATATATAAACCACCCCATAGTCACGCTGCCTTCAGGGGTCACCACCTTCCATTCGCGGGCTGGACTTTCTCTAATAACAGGTATAGATATATAAACCACCCCTTAGTCACGCTGCCTTCAAGGGTCACCACCTTCCATTCGCGGGCTGGACTTTCTCTAATAACAGGTATAGATATATAAACCACCCCATAGTCACGCTGCCTTCAAGGGTCACCACCTTCCATTCGCGGGCTGGACTTTCTCTAATAACAGGTATAGATATATAAACCACCCCATAGTCACGCTGCCTTCAGGGGTCACCACCTTCCATTCGCGGGCTGGACTTTCTCTAATAACAGGTATAGATATAAACCACCCCATAGTCACGCTGCCTTCAAGGGGCACCACCTTCCATTCGCGGGCTGGACTTTCTCTAATAACAGGTATAGATATATAAACACTATATCTAGAAATGACGGGGTGGATTTTATTGTAATTGATTGAATCTAACATCTCACAAATTTTAAATTTACATTTATCCTATCAATCAATACGATATAGATAACAATTTTGATCGTGTTTTCCGTCCAGCCTGCTAGCAGACACAGCAACATTAGGAGCTGGAGATGGCAGTCCAACTACCACTGTTGTAGACGGTACTCCTGATCCTCGTATCAAGACATTGGAAAGTGAAAACTTCAATCTCAAGAAAGTCTTAGAAGGTTTGACAATGATACTGTCAATTTATTTTGAGCTTGTTAGTGGTTATGTATTTATTGTGCATACATTTTGAATATGATGTCCCAAGTTATTGAACAATTCTAATTTACCTGATTTACTATTGGATTTATGCTCCCAGATCTGAAGAAGGGGGCTAAGCAAAATGAATCAGCCAACTCTGAGAACACGTCTATAAAAAACAAGCTTGAAAAAGTAAAACAAGAAAGAGATTCTTTAGCCAAGGAAATCGACGAGCTTCAGGTATAGAAGATATACAAACTTCCCTATGTTTTTAGAAATTTTTAATGGTGCTCTTAAAACTGGAGCAAAGTTTTAAAATTTACAATTATTACTTTATAATCTTTAAATTTCCCTCTAGGGCCGAGTTTCTGCTCAACAAAGGGAACTGAAAGAATCAGAAGCAGCACGTAAAGCAGTGTGTATGGACAGCAGTGAGATTGAACTGAGCTTGGAGGAGAGAACAAACGAAGTTAACAGGATGAGCAGATCCATCAGAGAGAAGGAGGATGAACTCGGTAATTAGTAATAATTAGTTATTGGGGAACTTATATAATAGTGGACCAGAACTACCCGAAATTGAGTTAATAAATTGTGCCAAATGAAGTATTTTCACAAAAACAATTTAAGATTTCAAATTAAGAAATTGTGATTCTCCCCTCTTGTTTCTGCGTATCTGTTGGCTGATTATAAATAATTCTTGTAGAAACGGCGACATGTCGAATAGAGGCTGAATATAAATAATTCTTGTAGAAACGGCGACATGTCGAATAGACATCTTGAAAAGAGGTATCCGAGAGATGGAAAAAGCAAAATCTGACCTAGAGATAGAGTTAGCGGAAGTGACCAGCAGTCTTGTAAAGGTTAGAAAACAGTGAATATTTCTGGTTTCTTTCTTCATAAGACTGTTCGTTTGATCAGTTTTCTAAACTTGCAAACGGCCAGGTAGCGCAGTTGGTTAGAACGCCTGTCTTACAATCGTTAGGTTGCGAGTTCGAATCCCACTGACTGCCTGGTCGTGGGGTGAGCGTCGTCGACGTTTAGCTAAGGATCATGAGTGGTCTATGCAGCCCCCCGGTCTACTCAGCCGAATACTCGAGAAATCGGGTGTGAGGGTTAAATGAGGAGCTGCACATTGCAGCAAAGTCTCGGGCGAAGAAAGTATGGTACACACTACCTTAACCGTCACTGGCCAAAAAGATCCTTCGGCTTCCTGTAATTGGCTGGTTGCACTTGTGTAACAATGTGGCTGTTGGAATACACCGAAGTAAAATAAGTGTCTTGATAAAAAAAATCGTTTTAATCGAAATAACACTTGAATAACTTACTGATACTCTGATGATGATCGCTTACAAATCGCCGCTCCCTGCAGCCCCATTACTAACTATGATTTCTAACTTCTAGCCTACGCGTTACAACCAGTAACTTATTACAGGAGAAGAAGATTTCGCAACGAGCAGAAGAAACGATAGCGGAACTACAGGAGGACATAGCACAGAGCCAGTCTAGTCGGAGAGGAAGCAATTCACAAGATGCAGACAGGCTCAAACAGACTATGGAGATTATGAAGGTTCAGTGGAGTTATTGTAATTAATTAACTGGTCGAATTCTTATCGTTGGAACTGATTGGAGCATTTTCGGCTCAAGTTAATCCATTTTTACGTACTGTTCGACTTATTACATGTATTAGTCCATGAATAAGTTTATAAATGAATAACCATATTTTAATAAATCAATTAAGAAACTTATTAATACCCTCAGAGTGATCATGCAGAAGCGTTAGCCCAAGAAACCCAAAGAACGCAAGTTCTGACCGACAAACTCACCTCAAGTTTAGCCGAAAGGAGAGATCTTGAGGCGGAATTAGACACGCTCAAATTTAAGTGCGCTGAGGCCGTTTCTAAACGAACTGAGCTGGAGGACGTTCTGTCAGAGCTCGAGAAAAAGGTAACTGTAACGATCATGACGTCACGTGGTATGATGACATCACGTGGTATGATGACATCACGTGGTATGATGACATCACGGGGTATGATGACATCACGTGGTATGATGACATCACGTGGTATGATGACATCACGTGGTATGATGACATCACGTGATGTGAACTCTATGTGTTATTGTGATGATGTTGCTTGTCTTGATATTACTGTCGTTCGAAGCCCAGCGAATAATCATAAACTAACAATCAATTGTATCAGTTCGGCAAAGAAAAAGCTCTGCTCCAACAAGACGCAACGGACGCAAAGAGAAAGTGCGAAGAGTTGGAGAAATTGTTAGAGAAAGAGAAAGCGAAAGCGAAAGTGGTAGCAGCCACTCCTGACCCTCAGCTAGAGAAACTTCAGGTGAGAACCCGAGACTAACCGTATTTCTTATCTGTAAATAACCTTAATCCTCTTATCCGATTACCCGTTATGTTGTATTTGGAGATATTATGTCAGATTTATTTACTGATAAGCATGTCAATTTCTCCAGGGTAAAGTGACTGAAGCTATGAAATGGCTTGAGGACGAACGGGAAGCTAGATCTTATCTTCATACCCTTGCTAACAAGATGCACGAGGAACTGGACGGAATGAAGACTGCGACCATCCGGAAGTCAGACTGGCAGCATCGGCGACACCAGAAAGCGGAGAAGAAGGAACTTTTAGCACTCCAATCAGAGCTGAAGAGTGAGATAGACGGTAAAAATCAGGCGCTTCAAGACGTGCGGGATCTCAAGTTGGAGGCTGAATCTAAGGTAATACATTTAATAAATCAAATAATCGTTAGTTCATTAAGCGATCAATTAAATAATTAGTATAATCTGTTTTTAAGATTAAAGTCTTTTATCCTCGTACGTTTGTCCGCCTAATCAACTCCGTTTTGTTAGGCTGTCAAATTACTTAATGAAAACAACTTATTTTAATGACTTACAATCACATAAGTCATTAAAATAATTTTCACGAATAATTAAAATGTGTATCGAAGAACTGACAAACTCGCAGATATTCGTCTCCTTGTTGTGGAAGCGTTATAATAGTGCGATAGTACGGGACAAATGGGACACGAGTTTTAGTATCGTATTTTATACTCTGTGTTTTTCGTTCCTACTTTATTTCTGGGTGGAAGTCGTCTTGGGAGTGGCATCTTTTTGTTTTGTTCTCGGATTCTGAAAAAAAAGCCGGATTCTGACAAGCCCCCTTATTTTCATGAAGTTCCGGACAACATTTTATTACATGCTATTTTGTTGTGGATTATGTTTTGATTTCGCTTGTTATGTATAAACTATAAAGGCGACTTTTTACTTCATAGAACTATCGCGGTCTAAACAACTGTTCTCATCGAATATAAATTTATTTGTTTTTCGAATGAAAATGCTTGTAATCAATAAACTACGATGGTGTTAGTCTATCGGAGCTAATTCAAATATATATATATGCGATTTAACTATGCATGCTTGTTACAGATGAGTTTAATTTACTTTTATTACTATTATAAATTATTATCTAAATGCTTAAATGTCATAAAATGTGTTCTTTAATTGTGATTTCACAGATTGTGAGGCACTTCAAACAAATTGGTCCTAGATTCAGCTTCTGTTCAGATACTCAACTTCAGTTGAGTTTTTCCGACAACGGGTGCTTTATTTTAGACCAGCTCGTGTCATATCATTAAAACCCAAAAAAGCTTAAATTACCCCTAATTAATTAACCAATTAATTACATAATTATCCCAATAGAGCCGATCAATAGCGGCTCTATCTGACGAGAACGACCTGCTGCGAGAAGAGGTGGAGTTACTAAACCAGAAGGTTCAACAACTGGGCTCTCAGGTTTCTACCGGTAGAGCCAGTCTTAAGGACTACAATTCTCGTAACAGGTTAGTTCTGTTTAATTACCCACAATAATAATAAATTAGCTGATTTGTAAAGTTTATTCTCGTAACAGGTTAGTTCTGTTTAATTACCCACAATAATAATAAATTACCTGATTTGTTAAGTTTATTGAGTGACATTTCAACACCGCTTTTTAATTTTGAACAGGTTGATACTTAATAATTTGTTGTTAGTACACCAGATTATTAACCTATTCCGAATTTAAATCTCTTATCTATCACTAATAATACCTTATCAGACCTTATTTGAACGGACATTAATTGAACGCTGGGGGTCCTAGCGTTCATCTTAATGTCCGTTAAAATAAAGTCCGTCCGTTTAAGGTCCGTCCAAGTTAAAGTCCGTTGAATTTCTTTCCAAAATTATTCCACTGCGAACTCATGTCTATGATATGACAACTTTTTAATTTCAGTCAATTTTAATTTCATTCGTCGGAATAATATATAAGCTATAAGTGAGTTTATCATTGGATCAATGAAAAACAAGTTATTATAAAATTTAAATATTCTAAGTATCACATTATGGCATGTAATGACCACGTCTTTCTTGATCTTTGGCTTCATTGTTCACTTCTTCGGAGTAACTATCAACCTCCACATCTTGTAAAAGTTTACACTGGAATGCAGGACAAAGGTGGTCTAATAAAAAATAGTTTAAAAAAAGCGGGTATTACTGATGCTGTAAGCATGGAATATTTAATGCACGATAACCCATTTGACGACTAGGTGACCTGTGATATGCTCATCAAATCTGGTCATATTACATATTTGTTGTTTTTACACAACTTTCATAATCATAGACACTGATATTCACATATGACAGATATTTTGAAATTTTGATTGCTTAACGACTACATTTCTAGCTATAATTTATTTGCAAATTATCTGCTAAAATTAAAAACCGCCAAAAAATATGAACAAATTTGGATTTTTGATGGTTTTGAATGTCTTTGAGCGTTCATTTTAATGTCCGTCCATAATTATGTCCGTTCATTTAATGTCCGGTCAAATAAGGTCCGATAAGGTAGTTAAAATAACGAACCCCCGTTTCAGTTCGGACGGTCTCAGTGTCCAGAGCGGTTCCCCCCGGTTCCTCAGTGCGCGGCAATCCTACGACGAGCCCGGCGGAGAGAAGGTCCCCCACAAGTTCGTGATGAAGACGTTTGGAGCGCTGACAAAGTGTTTACATTGCACCGCTGTGTTACACGGGGTGGTCAGACAGGGCATGTACTGTGAAGGTAAGTCACGTGATCAAGATAATAATGAGTCCCATTTGATGATTCTTTCAAGAAAATGAAGCTAGCATATAATCATAATATTGTAATTTTGTGTCTTGTAACGTTTTCCATCAAAACAGGACACTACGTAGTGAAGAGTTTTAAAATCAAAGGGGAAATAAAGCTTTCAATCATGATCATGAGCACATATTTTTGAGCTAATTAATAGCTTTCGTAAGTGCTTCATTTTATTCAACGAGTTTCGGTTTTTATTAATTTGTCCCCATTTCAGTGTGTCAGTTAGCATGTCACCAGGCCTGCTCCGAACGGGCCCTACACACGTGTCACGGTACACTTGTCACTGAGGAGTCACCCAGACGTCCTGACCCATCTGGATATGGCACTGCTATAGAGGGCTGGGTTAAGGTAAGGAGATAAGGAGTAGATTATTAACCAATTGTCGGATTCAATTTTGCCCTACTATATATTATATATATATACTAAATATATATATATCATATACTAAATGATTTATTATTTTACTATAGTGTCTTTTACATTTCCTCTATTTTAAATACAAATTTATCGTTTATCTAACGGGTGATTATTGTCAAAATAATCGCTAATTATCCCCTAATTAGTCCCTAATTACCCCCTAATTATTTCAGGTGCCTCGTCCCGGAGGTGTAAAGAAGGGCTGGGTAAAACAATACGTCACCTTGTGTTCTTACAAACTCTTGTTTTATGACGAGGATCCTGATAGACGAGATCAACCTAACACTGTTACTAAAACTCTCATCAATATTGGGTAATTAGCAGTTAATTATATCTAATTAGATAATTATTTCTTAATTAGCTAAACAAGCTCACTGAGCAGTGAGCACCGCTACTCTACGTAACTCCCTTAAAGTTAAAGGAAGTCTTCGCTGTTCTAGTTCGTTGGAGCACAAATAAAACACTCGTATATCTTGATTGACATACATATGACTTATATAATACGACACAGTAATGAGATTATAGGGTTTGTGGTCATATAGAAAATGAACTCTCGATATAAGCTCTTGATCAAGCCATGATATAAAGATTTTTGATACTGTGTCTCAGAGTTTTGATTAGGTGAGTTTGTGGTTGTAGAGCGAAGAGATAAATGATATTGGTCTGTGACTGTGTCGTAGTTCTGGCACTATTCCAGTGAGTTGTATAGATCATGATGTGTGTGCTCTGTGTGCTCTGTGTGTGCTGTGTGCTCTGTGGTGATATTAACTGGGGTGGTGAGGTGAAGCAGAATATTTAGGTTCATTGGTTGGATCAGAGGAATAATGTTGAAGCGAATTAAAAAATTAACCAGCTAACTGCTGACGGCCATTGAAAGTGGTCCCTGAAGAATGTCGATTGTCGCCATATAGGATGAATACTATGTCCTATGAAGTAACGTTACGTGCTATTACGTCACTTCTATGACGTCACTAACCCTATTACGTCACTTCTATGACGTCATTAACCCTATAACGTCACTTCTATGACGTCACTAACCTTCCCCCTTTCAGAGACCCTGGGTTCCAATGTCAGACAGTTTTATCAGCGGATGTGATACACGCCTCCGCCGGCACCATACCCCTCATATTTAAAGTATCCCAGACTCTCCTGTGTGACCCCAACAAACCTTTCACGGTAACTATATCATCCTGTATTATTTAATAGGAATAATTTTTAACGAATTTTTGACACTTTGAACTGTTTAAAGAATTAATAGACTACATTTTTTCAGTATGTACTACGTTTTTGACCAAGTTTATTCAATTTTGTCTTTTTCGTAGAATTTTAGGTTACTAACCAACCTGACAACTAATTAATCAAATCTTTAATCAGCTGTTGATAATGTGTCAAGATGAGTTGGAGAAGAACCGTTGGGTTAAAGTAATAAACGATGTCAGGACCAAGATCCCCAAAACAGATCCGCTCGTCTTCAAACCAGCGGTTCTTTACAATACCAACCAGGTATGAAAACTAAAATTTCGGGGAAGTTTTTCTATCCTTTTTGCCCGTTTTGCGGTGCAATTGTAAAGATATTGGCCTGAATAACTTGTTGATAAACACTCCTCCTAATTCTAATGCACCAGCTATAAAAACCCTTTCCTTTGCAGTTGGTGCTGTTAAAGACGATGTTGTGCGCGACGGTGCTGGATCAAGCCAGACTGCTCCTGGGAGCGGAGGACGGGCTCTATATTGCCAATTTGGTAGATAACAGTGTGGAGAAGGTGTTAGATATGAAGTGAGTGTATATTATTAGCATTTAGAGTTATAGGGAATCATAGCCATTCAGCCATTCGCCATTTATACGAGAAATGTGCTTTTTTCGGTAGGTACAGCAGGGTGTCATAATTATTGGCGCGTAGACAATTTTGCGTAAAATTTTAGCTTACCCAAGCTTTTAGAAACGATCATTACTTGACTTCTGAGGGTCAGTTTCCTATGGAGTCTTGATCTTTCAAGAGATAATCCTTCATACTACAGTTCAGTCTAAAAATGAAGTCCGAAAAAAGTTAAATTTCGTCGATAATCACGACGAAAGAGAAAAATTTGGATTATTTGACTTGAAGCCTTCGGCTGCTTCCCCTGAATTCCGGGATGAGTCCGCCTGACTATATTTTATTGCGTCAGTTAGAGGAGAAAGAGAGCTTTTATAAAATCGATAGTTTTCTATATGTTTCGCTATCGCCTGAAGAGCTGTGCACTTTAGTCTAAAGAATAATTTCAGACAAAATTCACCGAAAAAAAATTACACATAAATCCCTTACTCCTTCGTAAATCTAACCAAGTATGGAATCGACCCTTTAAATGACGGCCTAAATTATGGGTTTTGAGGTACATCAACACAAAATTCTGAAATTAAGAAAAAGTTCAGACGATTGTCTACAGACCAGTTTTTGAATTTTGTAATTTCGATATTCAGAAGTAAAGTTATGACCCGTCGAAAAACATTGATTTCATTATAAAATACACATAAGATTTCAAACACGCCAATAATTCTGACACCCTGCTGTATGGCTAACCTTTTTGGCATTACCGTACATTTCACCATCAAAAGGACCTATCACCTATTATTTTGGTATTAATGGCGAAATAATGACATTAGTAGGGAAGGAGTAGGAAATTGTTAAACCTAAATTTAAATTTTGTGAAAAATAACTACGATCCGGACCCTTGTTACTTGCATTTTCATCGGCAAAATTTGACGCATCCCAACGGTGGGCAGTGCCTAGTCTGATCTTCCTTGTGCCATGAATACTGATTATGAATAATGGATATTAGATCAGATGATTGATTCGTGAGCCGGCACCCACATCACACTTTCCCGGGCCTATTGTGACAACAAACCTTAACCATCCTGACATGTTAACCGATTGTTCTATCCTGCTCCAGCCTGCTGAAATACGACACACTGTAGACTTTTCATTTGGCGATTATTTTTACTAACCACGTGCTCATTCGCTTCACAGGAAAAGGGCTGATTATATGATGTTCTTACACGCTGATTGGTCCAATCTTGTCAGATGACGAGAACGGAGCTCTCCGATTGGTGGGAAACGGAAAAAATAATCAGAACCATTGCAGCAGTGCAATGTCATTATCGGGAGCATGGTGACACGTGACACTCTTCAATATGCGGTCTAGACTCCCTGGTTTAATTTGAATCATCGTGTATTGCCATCTATTTTAAATGGAACTGTGGATGATAATGGTCAATCTGGAAAGGCTTGTGCGTATGAGGGTTTTTTCGAAATGATATTAAAGGTCGATCAATGACAGACATTTCGACATTGCGTTTGCCAACGGATGAGTTTTAGCTCACGGATGATTCTTAGCTTACGCAGCAGCTTTGGATATATTTCATCAGAACTCATCCTCGAATCTAAGAATTTTACTGAAGTATATTTGGAATTACGTGAAAAATATACCAAAATAGGTTAGCCAAGATTAGCATGCCATGGAGAATACGCCCATTAATTTAGAGGAACTCGGAGAAAGGTTGACGAGACATAGATATAACGGTCTGATGAACGACTTGGCTAACTGAGACAGATTGTCTGGCTTTTGCTCAGTATAATTGGGTCTTAATTGTCTGCCTCTGTAACACTCTTTGTTTTGGCAGACATTCATGGCCCAAGGTCAATAAAAGTTACTATGTCTACAATCGTCATGGTCTGACTTTCTGTTGGAACAATACAGCCCTTCCCTGTGACACCCCTAGGACGGGACGCCGAAAAGACAGTCTGCAAATAAAAATAAGTGGAGCTCATATCCAATGAGAAGGGAGATCTGGCCTAGATTCAAACTGTTCAGATATTTTACTAGAGTTAGAAGTTGTTTGCCATTAAGAGTACGCCCATTAATTTGGAGGGACTCGAAGGAGGACATTGGTTGAGGAGAACTAGATATAAAAGCCTTCTGAAACACGACCTCACTAACTGAGTTGCACAAAGAAATGATTATAGTTAATTGAGGTCATTTCGGGATTTTACAGAGTAATGCAAGACTCATCGATTAAGATGGTTTATGTATATCTTTTCTTAATGTGAAATTTATAAGAAGTTGAAGCACCGACATAAAAATATTCCAGCTAGATTTGAGCTCAAAATTTCTAAAATTTAAGATTAATGTACAATGTACCAAATGGATAAAAAGGGGTAACACTTTCGTTCTTGATCTTCACTGAAGGTGAATGAAAATATTTAAAAAGTGGTAAAAGAAAGTGGTTTAAAAGAAGATAAAACATTCAGGGAGGTTAAAAGATTTGATGTTAAACCGAATTTCTTTCAGGAAAGTGGTAAGAGTTGACCTGGTGGAAAATGACGAGCTTCTCGTCATCATGTCGGGCAAACAGCCGATGATAAAACTATTGCCACGCTCAGCGATTTCCAGTACTGATCAGGGTAGTGACGATAATGAGATGATCAAGATACCCGAGACCAAAGGTTTGTTTTGATCTGTCATACTGACTATCAAATGTCAGAATTCAACACCCAGCGAATCACATGCTTTTCACCTTGTCAGTGAGTCATAACAATCTTACTAATATTTACACGCTCCATTACCAGGTGTACATATGTTTCACACTGGAACTACTAAAGCCGGAGGGCACTCCCTCCTCTGTGTAGCTAACAAGAGAAGGGTTATTATTTACGAGTTTACTAAAATCAAAGGGGTTAGTAAATTTTTTTCATTAAATACTTTTCAAACTTTACAGAGTACAGCAATTACAACGTATGAAATAAACTCGAATAAATTATTGCCCCCGTCTGTAAAATCTGACGGGAGACCAAACACGGTACTGCACAGTAAAACGTGCCCGCAATTACAATAAATACATTTGTTATACTTGTCAAAGGGGTCAGTAAATAAATAAATACATTTGTTATACTTATCAAAGGGGTTAGTAAATAAATAAATACATTTGTTATACTTGTGATAAAGGGGTTAGTAAATACATAAATATATTTGTTATACTTGTGATAAACTCAAAATCAAAGGGGTTAGTAAATAAATAAATACAATTTTAATACTTTCAACACTACTATATAACAAATAATTTGAGGATGTTACTGAAGATAGTAATGAAAATGTTTTAACACCTCAGTACTGTGTATTACTACAGCTCAACCTGCTCAGTCTGACTAATTGGGAATTTAAACTCTAAATAAATAAATACATTTGTTATACTTGTGATAAACTCTGTGATTCCTCTCCAATTGTCCTCCTCGCAGGGGGCTGCAGCTGTGGTCAAAGCGACCACTTAAAGATAGAGCATTGAAGCCCCGGGTTTCCATATCTGCTTATTCCTGACATATAATATGTACACACTATTATAGTCCAGATCTACTCGTTAGAAAACCAGCTCGGGACACCTTCTAAACGTTTGAATATTCCAGGTTTTCAACAACCGTAAAATCCGAGAGTACGAGCTGCCCAACACTTGCCAGTGGATTGGCAACTTCTCCACTACCCTTGGCTGTGGTTTTGTCAGCGGATACTCCCTCTTCGACCTCCAGGACCCCACGCTGCCTCCCACTATACTGCCTGATCAAGAGGATAAGACACTCGCCTTTATCAGACTCAATGCCCTGTACGCTCTAGCTTGTATTGAAGTGGAGTATAAGCGGGAATACCTTCTCTGTTTTAACAGTGAGTCTTTTTATAAGATAAGAGGAATTTATTCTTTATCTGATGAAAACAAGACACCTTTATCTATAGTCTCTTTCTTAAAACAAAAACCCAACCTTCTAATTCTTATCCAAATCTTCGTTCTAATACTCATTTATTTTTAAATTAATTAACTAATGACCTAATTAACTAACTCCCCTTAGTGTTGGGAGTGTACGTGTTAAACACAGGACACAGGTCCAGAAAGCAGGAGTTAATGTGGAGTTCCCCTCCTAATAAAGTAGCTTACACTCAACCCTACCTGCTGTCATACTGCCAACACTGTGTTGATGTTTACGACGTCAGGTTTGTCAAGGAGGAAGATCATTTATTTTAGATGTTTTTTACTGTTTCAATTAATCTAGCTGGCTGGCATCAGTTCGAAAATATTAGGCCAAATTGTTAGAGTCTTGACCACATTCCTACCCAGACATTATAGTTCCTGTAGTCATGTCTTTGTACCTGATTGCCCTTACTTTTTGTTAGTATTATAACAGTTATTATAGTTTGTGTAGTCATGTCTTTGTACCTGATTGCCCTTACTTTTTGTTAGTATTATAACAGTTATTATAGTTTGTGTAGTCATGTCTTTGTACCTGATTGCCCTTACTTTTTGTTATTATTATAACAGTTATTATAGTTTGTGTAGTCATGTCTTTGTACCTGATTGCCCTTACTTTTTGTTAGTATTATAACAGTTATTATAGTTTGTGTAGTCATGTCTTTGTACCTGATTGCCCTTACTTTTTGTTAGTATTATAACAGTTATTATAGTTTGTGTAGTCATGTCTTTGTACCTGATTGCCCTTACTTTTTGTTAGTATTATAACAGTTATTATAGTTTGTGTAGTCATGTCTTTGTACCTGATTGCCCTTACTTTTTGTTAGTATTATAACAGTTCCATCCCCCAGAACCACCGAATGGGTACAAACACTACCTCTCCAAACACTGGCTGGTTCACCCTTCAACTTCCTGGGTACTCTCTCCATCGCTCAAATTGAGGGGCAACCAACTCTGCTGTTATGGAGGTTAGTACGCGTTTTAACAATGTTTGCTGAGTTTTGTGTACTTCGTTTGAAGAAAAATAGTACGTGCTTTCCTCGGGCTGATGGCCAATTATGTGTTTAGATCTGGCTGTTTAGTTGCTTCCTACTAAACACTACTATGTAAATTATGCTACAAATCTGTCCAATCTCTCCCATGTGCAGAGTGCAGACAACAAATTAAAATTAATTAAGTAAGGAGAAGTTGGTCATGACAAAGGCTGGGAATGTAACATTGTAGTTCATACCAAGGCTGGGAATGTACCATTGTAGTTCTTCATAGGGGCCAGCAACCCTTCAGCCTTAAAGTTTCCTACCGAAACACATGGTGCAGGCCACAAAGGCTCAGTACCGTGCCCCCCCCCCCCCCCCCCCCCCCCCCCCCCGTGCATGGTTCATTAATGTGGAATGCGGATGTAGCGAGTTATTCGACCAGCTATGTGACCAGTACTCTTGTTCAATTTAGGTATGTCCAAAATGGGCAAGTTACAAGCGAGGGATTTTGCGAACTTTATCGTCAACTGGTTCTGATTCACATTTAAGGAACACTTATAATTACAGCTTAATAAATCAAAGATATCACTTTTACGTAAGATCACAGTCTGCGCTTAACAAATGGTATAGATATCACTTTTACGTAAGATCACAGCCTGCGCTTATCAAATGGTATAGATATCACTTTTACGTAAGATCACAGTCTGCGCTTATCAAATGATATAGATATCACTTTTACGTAAGATCACAGTCTGCGCTTATCAAATGGTACAGATGTATTGTTTTTTGTATATTAGAGCTTTAGCCACAGGTAGGTTGGTCTGCACGGAGCCCCACAGTTTCAATTCCTTGTTTAACTAGCCGTACAGCAAGGATATCCACTGTGCTCACCAGGTTAGGCACATAACCAACACTACCCTGCTAAAGTTAGCTATATACTATGGTTTTCTCGAAAGTATTTCCTTGTATTTGACTTTCGTCAAGAAAGTACTCTTACTTTCGGTTCAGATGTTATATAAGCTAGCCTTTATGTGGTCCGCAGGGCGGAGGAACCGCCACACACTTCTCACCCAGCTACGAATACAATGTATTGTTTTTTGTATATTAGAGCTTTAGCCACAGGTAGGTTGGTCTGCACGGAGCCCCACAGTTTCAATTCCTTGTTTAACTAGCCGTACAGCAAGGATATCCACTGTGCTCACCAGGTTAGGCACATAACCAACACTACCCTGCTAAAGTTAGCTATATACTATGGTTTTCTCGAAAGTATTTCCTTGATATCACTTTTACGTAAGATCACAGTCTGCGCTTATCAAATGGTATAGATATCACTTTTACGTAAGATCACAGTCTGCGCTTAACAAATCAAATGGTATAGATATCACTTTTACGTAAGATCACAGTCTGCGCTTAACAAATCAAATGGTATAGATATCACTTTTACGTAAGATCACAGTCTGCGCTTAACATGCCCTAAAACGTAATATCTCTATTTTTACTCAATTCTCCCGTTTACAGTTCAGCAAACGTATCAATTTGGTGCTGGAACCACGTGTCACCACTCACCTGCGCTCTGGACAGTTTACCGTGTTTAAAAAATAGTCATTATCTATTCTCAGGTCACTGAGCTGTATATCCTTCAATCAGTCCAGAACTGACAATTGCACGGTCCGCTGGTCCGCTGTGTAATATGCTCCTAGACTCTTCATGTCACATATAATATCTTTACTTGCACAAAATGGAGCAAATTATTGCTGGAAACAAGTTGGAAACAGTTACAGCTGATCTTTTAGTTTGACTCCCCATTTTTAAACTGTGACATCTGGTACAAACAGAATAAATTTATCACATCCGAACAATTTGTTCAAGGAATATTTATGGGGCAATTTATTGGGCAATCCTGTATTTATGTAAAACAATTTAAGGGAAGGGATATCCTAGCGTCAATATTTGTCCTGAAATATTTTCGATAACACAAAATATCGAAATTTCGAAAACATTACTGACGTCAACTTTGAAATGATTTTAAACGTGTTTTTTTTGTTTTTTTGTTTTTTTATTACACAATTTTGATCGTGCTATCAGAAAATAGAAATTCTACCGATAAATATAGACGCCTACGAAGAGGATCTTAGTATTTTGTAAAAGCTCTCTACTTTGAAGTTGAGTGTGCTGCTTCATTAGGAAATTTCCACAGCTAACCTTTGATAAGCCCGTCTACCTCCATCCCAGTTCTACCTTTAGTCATATCAATTCCAAATTAACACAACCCTCCCACCCGCCCCCCAGATTTGTGAAAGATTAATTGCATTGTAAGTATTCAAAGCCACCTTGAGGTGGGGTGATTACAGTGTAGCGTGCGCAAAACATCTTTTCTGATTTTCAATGCAAAATAACACGTTACAAAATATATGCGGCACTTTGTGATATTCAACACCCGACACACCTTTTTGGTGCCTTTTTTAATGTAAAAGGAAACATTTTCGAGCCGCACGATTGAAACATAAAACATCTATCTTAAATGTTAAATATGAAAATGGATATGAAATATAAACATCGATCTATACAAATTAAAGAAACTCAGGAATTACAACAAAAGTATCTCATGATGAACATAGCAATTTAAAAATTGGTTATATATATATATATAACTATATATAATATTAACTAAAATATTCAAAAATGAAAAAAATTTTTCTACGGGTATTTGCCTCACAGAATGGCGGCCAAAAAAAAGGAAGGTCTCTCAAAGTCACAAAACACACTTTATTCCAGTTTTTATCTCATAAGAAGCTAAGTTGACACTCATATTTTTCTTCCCGGGGGTTCATTTAATCTCATAACCATTTTTTCTTTGAGAAAAATTGGCCGGAAAATCTTCCTCCAAAAAAACATGCCTCACAGAATGGCCAAATCTGAATTTCTATAATTTTGTTGATAGAGATACTTTTTAAATTTCTATCACCACACGTTCTTAGAAAACCTATTAAGGAATGGGGTAATAACCTAAAACTCACGAAAAAACTGATCTGTGAAAAATTATTTCACAAAAAAGGAAAAATGCCTGACAAAATGGCAAAAAAAAAGAAAACGAGAAAATTTTATTTTTCTAAAACCTTTGGCTCTTGTTTCAGGCATGCTGCTGGTATTAATATGCCTTGTTAACACCCCCATATAGGTGAAATTTCTTAGAACTGGATAAAAAGGGCATAATTTCCTACACCAAAAATGGCCATTTTGTGTGGCGTTGTTCATATTCCCTGATTTCATGATTTATAACCTTCATTCGGCTGTAAAAACACTCCATCTGGAGTGTTATTGTATGATAAATAGCTTGTGAATACTTTAGACTTATGGTTTCATTGAATAAAAGGAGTTTTAAATTTTGGCCATTTTGTGAGGCATATTTTGGCCATTTTGTGAGGCGTTTAGCCATTTCAACATTTTGTTTCTTCCTAAATTGAACAATGTTCGTTTTGTTTGATGAATACTATTCTTTAAACATCTTCTGTCATACTGGTGCCAGAAGTTCTCACCAAAATGCAAACTTAGTTCAAAAATTTGAAAACAAATTTTGTGAGGCATATTTTGGCCATTTTGTGAGGCGTGTAGCCATTTTAGCATTTTTTTCTTCCTATATTGAACAATTTTCGTTTTGTTTGATGAATACTATTCTTTAAACATCTTCTGTCATACTGGTGCCAGAAGTTCTCACCAAAATGTAAACTTAGTTCAAAAATTTGAAAACAAATTTTTCAGTGCTCAAAATTTCTACATAAACAGTCATATTTATGCCAGAAAATGTGGTCCTAGTTAATGATTTCACCACAGGAAGTGTTGCCAGAAGACTTTTGTTTCATATGGTATCCACAAAACCTACCAGTCTTTTATAAAAAATTAGTTACAAAAACATTTACAAATTTGGCCATTCTGTGAGGCTAGCCATTCTGTGAGGCATTTACCCGTACATTATAATAATCACTAAATTCCATAACGTTCCACATTCCTCCTATTAATCTCGTCCACAACCGTCCTCATTAACCCGCTCTTATCCTCCAGCCCCACATAATCTATAGTAAGTAACTAACTGGTCTATTGTAAAGTTCATGTACAGCATTATTAATTCCGCTCCACTTGTTGAACTCTTCCCCCGCACATTTAGCCGCCATATCTTTTATACACAGCCCCCAGCTGTAAAACCAGGCCACTTCCACCTGGCAGGTTAAGTCATTAATTAAATATTACTTATTACTTTAACACGCTTAGTTGATCGATAAATAACTTGATCGATTAAATTTATGTGTTACCTGGTGGTTTTCTAGTGAAGTATCTGAATCCTCCTTTATCATGTCAATCAGCTCCTCCTCTGTAAAGCAACTGAATGATATGTAGCGTGTCTTCCAAGTGCTAACCTGTCACAATGTTGGGTCATGTTAATGGTATTTCAAGTGCTAACCTGTCACAATGTTGTGTCATGTTAATGGTATTTCAAGATGGAGCATGTTATCAAATTTAAGCGCACTAAACTATAACAAGCGATGAATGAATCACCACTTAACGGAATAAAAATACCAACCAATCTCAAAGGGTGCATATTTGGCTTGTTTTCAGGCTCAAACTCCTCGTTCATGAACACAACAAGTCTCTCGTTTCTCTTGACCGCGTCACCAAGAAGCGGATTAGGACTGGGGTTCATCTTGGTACTAGTCACCACACTGAACTCGTCCTCCAGCGCCCCTGCTATCTCCTGTCTCTTGTCCCCGTGGTGGTTATCTGCCCTTAAAACAACCACCTCGTTTCTGTTCTCAGCTTTACCCAGCCAGGTGTTTATCTCCAACAGAGCCCTCCTCAGGGATTTGGAGTAAGCCAGGCCATGTACCAGCACAATACCAATCTCATAGTACTCCCCGGATTTAGATTCTTCCTCCGTTATATAAGACACGTCCATATCAAGATGTCTCACTCCAAGTTCGAGCATGCTTGTTATTGAAATGTCGTGGTTTTGATAATAGCATGCTAAAAGCTCCGGATCAGGATCAATAGGAGCGTCCTCTCTAACTCTCATAGGTCCAAATGAGCCTGAACCAGTGTTATGTGCACCAGGTAAAGTGAACTGGCTGAGAGCCAAGTTGCAGGCACCCTCTATACCATTTACAAGACCACAGTCACTGATACGTGGTCCGCATGTTAGTGTGAGGGAGTGAGAACAGTTAGACTCGGGCTGTGCTGTACAAGTAGACCAGTCACTGGATTTACAGGCTATGTGGACACTCTCTGTAGTGAAGGGGCTGCTCTCAACTCCACTTAGCCAGCGGGCACCTGTGTCAAGTAGTTTTAGTTGGCAGCAACATATCGAACGGTACTCAAACTTTGAAAGAGGAATAACAGCATTTGAAGTGTTATAGACTCTAACATCATCCATGATCCAACAGTGTAAGAGAGTTTACCTTTATACTGGAAGCCCATGCCACGACAAACAGCTCTGGCGGTACTGTAGCTGAAACCAGTAGCGCACACTCTTTCTCCACCATATCGCAGTAAACCCTCCTCTTTCTCAGTATCTCCGTTATTATCAACTAACGTTAACTCCTCACCTGAACGGTAAATTTGTGAAAAGGACAATATTGAGAAATGGGAGCTAATCGTGGGGCCTCGGTTCGCATTGAATCACTGTTATCTTCTTATGAAATTCAGGTGACGTCACGTGGTGTGATGACGTCACGTGGTGTGATGACGTCACGTGGTGTGATGACGTCACGTGGTGTGATGACGTCACGTGGTGTGATGACGTGTGTGATGACGCCACGTGGTGTGATGACGTCACGTGGTGTGATGACGTGTGTGATGACGCCACGTGGTGTGATGACGTGTGTGATGACGTCACGTGGTGTGATGACGTCACGTGTTGTGATGACGTCACGTGGTGTGATGACGTCACGTGGTGTGATGACGTCACGTGGTGTGATGACGTCACGTGGTGTGATGACGTCACGTGGTGTGATGACGTCACGTGGTGTGATGACGTCACGTGGTGTGATGACGTGACTAATACCCAACTTTTTCAGGGATGTTCGATTGGAAGAGCAAGAGCAACCTGTCATCCTTGGAGGCATCAGAAGACGAGAAAATGCATCCGTTAAAATCGTAAGTCGTTTTTTTCACCTAATTTCGCACTAAAGAAAGAAATTTCCTTACTCATAAATTGTTTAGTAATTCATTTGTCTAAAACTGCCTAAAGTAGCAGGTTATACCGTATCAGCCCACATAACAGCTGTACACAGTGTGGTTACATCAACCTTTTTGAGGTTTAGTTAATTACCATGTCCCACAATTGCTCAGATAAAGCTGGGTGTTGTTGAGCAGCAGTCTAAATGTCTACTAGCTACACATAAAGCTGGTAGATATAATGGGTGTTATTGAGCAGCAGTCTAAATAATATCTACTAGCTACTTAGTAGTGCAGTTAGCTAGTATAAGTATTAACTATTACTTATTAGTTGCTGGTCAGTGTGATCCACTCTATCCTACTCATTTACACAATATAACGGCTATTAGCACTTAATTACACCTCCTACCGGTCTTACCGTTTAAATCAGTCACGTGGGTTTGTTTGACCGCTTATTACTGTCATGTGACTCGGTTGAACCAATCAGAAGGCAGAGATCGTTAGCTTTCTGTTGCCAGATGGTAAGGACGGGAGAGCAGGGCTTTATTAATGATAATTCCGAAATTAACGAGTATTTCACGGGAAATTATCGAGTTTACAATCATATTACGAAACGCTTTATTCATTCGAAATTCAGTATATTGAGTAATCAAGTACTGCGATCATCAGTTGATAATAATTATGATAATTATCTGAGGCTTTATTTCTAACCTGACCAGCCGAAAGCACTTAATAAAAGGTTTAAAGACGCTATTAATATCAACTAAATTGTAATCGAACCGAGAATTGGTAGTTGATACCCAGGTTTTAGACCCATTGCCCCACGTGTGGTTTAAAAATATAATTGATTAATTACATAATTACCCTAATTACCTCAGAAATCGACCGTGTCCCGCCCCTCTAACCGGCAGAGCCGAATATTCAGCATCAACAGTATGAAGCAAGCCTCACAACCACTCAGAAATAGGTTTGTGCAAGTGAAATCTCTATTTCTATAGGATGGTTGATATTTCGGGGAGTCAAGTTTAAGATTTTGTCTTTGATAAAGGCGACTTTATTTTGGTAATATCTATTGTCTAGTTAAGTATTACCGCGTGGTTGGTATTGTTTTGTATAATTGGGATAAAGCTTTATCGATAAAAAATATATGTCTACTATTTATAATATCATAATTGACTATTATTAGTTGTACTAATGATAAGTTTCCCCGTACCACAATTGATACAATCAAGAAATTGCTATATTACTCATCTGATGAGTAACTTATCATCCACATTTCATATATGAGGTAAATTTAAGATAAACTATATGGCGTCCTTAAGCATATTAAGTTCCATAGTCTTGGGGTGAAACTAACCTACTCTAGAGAATCTCCTTTACTGAGCCTCGTTACAATTTGCAGACCAGCGGAATTTGGTTGATTGGTCTAAATAAAGAAATGGGCGGTCCTATGAAATAGGATTTATTAAGATTCACTAGGGAGGCTCTTTGTTATATTGAAGATTTAGTCCAGTGAATGGCTTGAGTGCTTGAATTAGGCATTCCTACACCACATACCTAAACCTGGATTATTGAACGTTGGAATTTAAATATGAGAATTTTGGATGAGATCTCTATCTTGTGGTGTAAACAAGCACAGGGAAACGGCAATTACGTTGCAGCTAACTGAAAATAAGATATTTAAAAGTCGTCCGCCCAAAGTCAGTAAAACTGGATAATTAGCGGGCATGCTCTTGGTACTAAAGTTATTGTATATACCTCATATTAAGTGAACACTATAGGGGGGGGGAGCCAAGTGGATATTTGTAGATATTTGTAGATTAATGTAGAATGGATAATCCACGAAAAAGGTGGATGACATTCTACAAATTTATACATTTATCTCCAAAAATATAGTAGAATTTCTGGGCACATATTTGAGATTACATTTTTTGTAGATAAATGTAGATATTTGTAGATTATTGTCAATGGATAATTCACGAAAAAAGTGGATGACATTATCCAAATATCTACAAATATCCACTTGGCTCCCCCCCTATATACCTCATATTAAGTGAAAACTTTTCGGGAACCACCAAAACTTTTAAAATAGCTGGGACAGAATTTCTCAACTCTTTTGTACAAAAAACACTTCTGCTATTCCTGGATTATGGATAGATTTGTTTTGTTATATGTGGATAAGTTTGTAAGAGCCAAACTTCAAAATACTGTGGAAAATATCAAAAGGGCGAATAAACAGTATTTTGTAGTTGATGGCTCGTGGTGCCAGTCAATGTTTAGTCAAAAGAAAAGAGAGAAAATATAACTATGATCAGTCACAATTAATTAAACTCATCGTCAGGTTGGAAAAGATTGAGATATCTCAGCCGAGTAACTTTAATCACGTGACCCACATGGGACCATGTGATGGCAGTAAAATTCTACTGGACATACCCCAGGTTTGTAGTACTACTTCAGTTCATGTGATGATGATTGGGTAAATGTGTGGTTTTATATCTCTGCTTTTAGAATAACCGTGATTGGATTTATCTCAATAACGAATTAGTATAGTTAGTGCTAGGTACTGAACTCTAGAACTCCTTATATGGGCATCACGTGTAACTCTAAAACTGATCAGCATGTTATTGTAAGTTGTAATGAACATGCTGATTGCTTTTTGTTTATAGGCAGAAATATTCAATGAAATTACAATAGCTACTCAAGTACTTCACTTTTGATCGAGCTGAAAATGGCACGGCCAATATCATAACGCATATCGATAGAACATATTGGGAAGATATTGATTAATTTGTTTTCTGTTCAGGCGCAACAAGACCCAGCTCTAAGAAGGACTATGACTGCAGCAGCCAGCTTCAACAAGCTTCCTAGCCCTTCCCGGTCTAACGACTCCGGTTTGTTTCTTTATTATTATTTTTCTTCACACTTTTGATGCCGATGGTCATTTTACACCAAATGTTTAAAATATGTGTCTGACACGAAGGAAAATGAAGTTAGTCAGGAATGTGAAATTGAATGATAGTGACTATTGTCAGGTATAGAGTCGGGAGGAAGGATGGAACGAGCGGCTAGTTCAGTAACTGATCTACAAAACTTCCGGTACAAGCCGCGTGACCCCCTGCCACCTCGAGACTTGTCCACTAGGGACTCTCTCCGGAGTATACCGTCGCGTGACGTAACGCGTGATTCACGTGACGTCACGCGTGATTCATTAGTGCCACGTGACAAACAACAACAAAGTACTCGCGATAATATTGGGTTAGTTAACATTAGGAACTGATCTATTCAAAACCAAGATTTTATGCTATATCAGTAAAAGATGGTGCTGTTCAGTAATGTTAGCATTAGGAAATGGAACCGTGTAGTTCATGGCTTTATGTTGTCATACTGTCTTAGGCCTAGTGAGTGAGGGAGTTGGTAAGTTGGTTGTTGTTCGCTGGTTTTGTTTTTGTCGCTGGTCAAATAGCATGGTTTATAAATAGCATTTTACCTCCGGAGCTGTAAAATTCACCCCTAACAATACTTCTATTTCAGTGATACAAGCCCAGTTGACGGCTCTATAAGCCCCCAGGGCACTTCCTTGCGGAACTCAGTACTCGGGGGTTTCTCTGAAGAACAGTTAGCGTTTCTAAAAATTATGGATGAAAAACAATAACGTAGCGGTCACTCCAGCAGTCGCCAGCCAACTCAGCGGTCATCACCTAGATGGTGGTGGTCACCATGGTGATGGTGGTGGTCACCTACGTGTCATTTGTGCAGCCTCCACCGTGAGACACTTTGATCCGAGTGGATTCAATTTTCTGCGGTGCTTGTTGAGCTTCAATCATTAGGACTAATAAAAACGATGCCGAATGGCTTGGTCGAGACTCGAGGGTCGTATCAATTAGGAAAATTCAAGACAATCGCTATCCGTATCGATCTGCAAGATGAATTATTATTTTTATGTTGCGTTCTTTTATTTTTAGTTTTACATATTATATTATACTGTTTTCTGCTGTAAAAAGTTATTGATAACCTCTTGTACTTAGAGCATTGCTTGACATTGATGATGTGGTTGGAGCAGGAAGATTGAACTTGTTACAAGTGCCAGATCCTTGCCTCATGATTTTACAAATACTTGAATACATTATACTTAAGTATAAGTATATACATTATACTTATACTTAAGTATAAGTTATAAATACATTATACTTAAGTATCTTATTTAGTAATCACAATTAATTAAGTTATTGAAATTGATTAATCGATTATTCGTTCAAAAAGTTGTCCTAGCAGCTTTAGGAAGCTGTATGCTTGCATTTAATGCACGAATGTCCATAAACGTACATTTCTGGATTTAATAAGATGTTAATCTTTTTACTGTTCTGATCAGCTTAAGAATTAAACATGAAAATGTTACCTGACAACTAAGTTATCATGGGGTATGTATCTGCCATATAAGCCGGTAAGGATTGGGTTTATTAAGATTTCCATCAAGCTCCACATTAATTTAACTAATTAATCAACTAGTTAATTAGTTAATTAATCAAGCTCAATAATTATAAATTACTGTTCTCTAAAATATCCGGTATTTTAACTTCCATTTCGTTCAATGATAATCGCATGTTATGAATTATGTGTAAAGATTTCCGTTATTAACCTTCTTTTTATTTTTAGAACTCATCTCTAGCAATATAATTCAAATTAACACTAATGTGAACTAGTTAACATGAATTTGTTAATTAACATAACTGCGATTCCTTTTTTTTGCAAATTATAAGATTTTTATAATATATCACTCGGCCTTTTTGAGATCTATAATTTCGTAGAACTAGGTTTCGTAAATCTGTTGAGTGTTGCTATTTATATGTCAGGGAAATCATTTGGAGGAAGAAAACCTGCTTTTTGGTTGGACAGTTTTGGAAATCTGCTTTTTAATTGGAAGGTTTTAGAAATTTGAGTTTTGATTGGAAGGTTGATGTTGAAGGTAATCGTCGTAATTGTTACTTGTTTTGAGACCCTGCTGATAAGAAAATTTGTTTATTTTCATATAGATATCGCTATGAATACTTAATTGATAACATATTCGAGTTTTTCACTTGTCAACTATTTTTAACTGTGATAAACCATCGGACTAATCCTCAAATCTTAGAAACTGTTTCCATAACCTATTGTTACCCCTAGTTACCTCCTAGTTACCCCTAGTTACCCCTGACTACCAGTAATATAACATAACCCATTGACCACCCTTTGTGCAACGTACTGCTATTACTTATATGCCAACCAGCTAAATTGTGTAAAATTTGCTTTTGGTGCTGGCTCAGGGAACCATAACGATAACCTCGAGACATTCTGCTTTTCGTCCACCCACTCTCTAATAGTGTCTCAAGACATCAGCCCTAGCAAAAGCATTGTACCTCCTAGATTTACAAACCCTGACTACCAGTAAACCTGACTACCGTAACCCTGATACCGTACACCCTGACTTTACAGAAATAAAAAACCCCGAATACAAGTAATCCCTGACTACCAGTAACCCCTGACTACCAGAATACAACCCCTGACTACCAGTAACCCCTGACTACCAGTAATCCCTGACTACCAGTAACCCTGATACCAGTAACCCCTGACTACCAGGTACTACAACATGTGATTCTACCCGTAACCCCTGACTACAGTAACCCTGACTACCCAGTACCCTGGACTACCAGTACCCCTGACTTACCAGTAACCCCTGACTACAGTAACCCTGACTACAGTAACCCCTGACTACAGTAACCCCTGACTACCAGTACCCCCGACTACCCAGTAACCCCTGCTGTGACTTACCAGTAACCCTGACTACCAGTAACCATGATACCCAGTAACCCCAGACTACCAGTAACCCTGACTACCAGTAACCCTGACTACCAGTAACCCTGACTACCAGTAACCCCCTGACTACAGTAATCCCTGACTACAGCAAACCCTGACTACCAGTAACCCTGACTACGTAACCCTGACTACCAGTAACCCCTGACTACCGTAAACCCTGACTACCAGTAACCCCTGATTCGTACCCCTCTGACTACAGTAACCCCTGACTACCAGTAACCCTGACTACCAGTAAACCCTGACTACCAGTAACCCTGACTACAGTAACCCCTCTCTGACTACCAGTAAACCCATGACTTACCAGTAACCCCTGACTACCAGTAACCCCAGACTACCAGTAACCCCCTGACTACCAGTAGTATCCCTGACTCCAGTAACCCTGACCACAAGTAACCCTGACCACAGGAACCTGGACCCAGTATACCCTGACTACCAGTAACCCTGACTACCGTAAACCTGACTACCAGTAACCCCTGATCACCAGTAACCCCTGATACAGTCACCTGACTACCAGTAACCCCTGACTACCTGTTACCCCTTGCTACCAGTACCACCTGACTACCAGTAACCCTGACTACCAGTAACCCTGACTACACAGTAAACCCCTGACTACAGTAACCCCTGGACTACCAGTTACCCCTGACTTACCAGTACCCGCGCTGACTTACCAGTAACCCCTGACTACCAGTAACCCCTGTCTACCAGTACCCCCTTCTGAACTACACCAGTTAATCCCCTGCTACCAGTAACCCCTGTACTACAGTAACCCCTGACTACAGTAACCCGATTACAGTAAACCCTGATACAGTAACCCTGACTACAGTAACCCCTGACTACCAGTAACCCCTGACTACCAGAATACAACCCCTAACTACAGTAACCCCTGACTACCAGTAACCCCTGACTACCAGTAACCCCTGACTACCAGTAACCCCTGACTACCAGTAACCCCTGACTACCAGTAACCCCTGACTACCAGTAACCCCTGACTACCAGTAACCCCTGACTACCAGTACCCCTGACTACCAGTAATCTACCTCAAAAGTGGGCACGTATGTTGGTTATATCTTAAATCCTGATAATCTCCGGTAACCGCTCACCGTGACTCCCTGCTAAATTTAGCTCTACGTGAAGATTACCCTCCAATATCTGCTCTTTAGAAACATCTGATATAATCACTGACAAGTGCGATTACAGATTGCCACCACTGAAACATCCTCCATTGTCCATTATTACTCATCACGCTATTGCAATACTTGTTAACATTAGGGGGACGGGTTATCATTGTAGGTTAATCTACAGCCGGTGGCATTGTGCATCTAAACCAACCTTTCCATTAACGGATGACAGGACCCGTGAATTTTAACATCTGGTCCCAGATAATGAGGAGCAAACCCCCCGGCCAGTATTGTCCACCTCTACACACCATGAGACCTTCACTCAATCATCATTGTACTCTCCGTCCTGGCTAACTGCTCCCAGTATTCACTATTTCTCGTAATCACTGCAGCACGTGCGTCTCGGCCGGTTAATGCAATATCGTGACGTCACGCGGGTCATGTGATAAAAGCAGCACGCCCACGTGATATGTGGCGCGCGCGTGATGGTTGGCCGTATATAGGGAGGGGGAGAACGAGTCTAGGTCAGTTATCTTCAGTTGTACGAACACATCAATCAACTCTTACCCATTCAACGAGTCCAAATCTACCATGTTCTCCAGAAACGATATCTTCAACATTGTCTTGTGAGTCAATCTTACTCTACTATGGTGCTACCCTACTACTCATGCAGTCAAGATTAAGAGTAGATACTACACTACAAGTACAGGAGTACTACTAGTACTACTCCTGTAGTGTAGTATCTACTCTTAATCTTGACTGCATGCTACCATTTTTTATCATCTAAACAACGATTCATTTTATGAACAATGAAATTTCTTGGCCACATAACCATTCTTAAGGCAATCTATTGTGAAATCTTGTCCAAATGCCCATATTTACTAACCACTACATCATCATGAGCCCTTTTGCACAAGACTTTCTCGCATAAAACTATCATTTGTAGAATAAGAATCATAAGAAACTGGGCCTTTCGGCTTCTGAATTTAGTCTAAGACTCTCAAGTTAAAGTAAGCTTTAATTCGGCTGCCAGCAACATTGTACTGTTCTAGCGTCCATTTCAGCATTATTAATGTGTTGTAGTTTATCACAATGATTTCGACCGAAAATAAGACTATGGTTTCCACAACCTACAGTTTTCGTAAGAGAATTTGAATTTCTAAGTGGAAATAGTACAACTGATAACAACCAGCAGCAGAAGCACAGAAATTAGAAGGATTTAAAATTAGACTCACCAAATCTCGTATTGGATAATGATCCAAGCAACTCAGAATTGAGTTGGATCATTTTACAATCCGAGATTGGGAACGGGTTCTATAGACAAACAAATGAATATTTGGCTATTAATTCTGATTAATTAAGGCTTGAAAACGATGACTTAGACTCGCTGATATATACACCATTCTCAATAATCTCATCCAAACCGGGGATTAACTGATCCTGTTCAGTCCACGATAAGCTGATCCGAATTTTGTATAGTATTTTTAATTTTATCTAGCATTACAGTTTGTATCAGTAAGCAGACTTTGTCTATTCCAGCTTTAAGATCATGAGCTAGTAAGACGTATAGTCCGTGTCTCATAGACATGTTCAATATCCTGTTTAAATTAAATTTCTCGTAAATATTACAGTCTAATGAGTGTTCTGAAGGAACATTAAACCTGAGGTACTAATAATTTTGATGTTATGACCTTTTCTGCACTGGGTGAAAATTCATTAAATTACAGCCACTCATTAAAACCTACTTAAGTCTAATTATAAGATATATTTCGTAATTGAATGCACAGATGAACAAAGCGGTAGTAATAAGTACAACTACAGGACAAATTTAAGTACCCAATTGCAGTTCGCTCTAATCAAAAGTAAATCCTCGGGAAGGATTACTTACGAGCGATCATTGCAATTTAAGAGGATTATTTAGCTTTAATTTAGCCAGCGGATAAGTTTAAGAAACCTAGTTTAACCCAGTAGAACTTGGCTAGACAAATAAATACAGTAAGCTATTAAAGTGTCCACTCACACTTCATCATGTAGTCCAACTTAAATAATTACAATCTTATGACAAGAACTCTGGTACTTTAACTAAATTAAACAACTCACTTCAATTTTCCAATCATCTTAAAGTTAAATTGCAGTTGAACCGTATGATCAGTTAATTGCAAGTCCACAGAGGCTTATAAAATAAATGAATTATGAGCAATTATAATGATTTGTTTTAAACATTGTAATTATAATGATTTGTTTTAAACATTGTAACTGTAACTATGGTGATATTTCAGCACCTTTGTGCTGAGTCTGGCGACCTCCTACGCAGCCGCGCTCAGTGAGAACGGTTAGTTTCTTACTTTTTATAATGTATAAGCTCAGTGAGAACGGTTAGTTTCTTACTTTTTATAATGTATAAGCTCAGTGAGAACGGTTAGTTTCTTACTTTTTATAATTTATAAGCTTTTGTCTACTAGTACTAAATGTTCGTTATTGGATGGGCAACTTGGTATTATTTCTGCTCTTACTTGATTTCAAATGGTCACAAATTTTCTGATTCTTATCCAACAATATTCCACATTATTTTTCATTTCTAAGTTAACTTCTAAGTCCTCGATTCCATCGGAAAAGTGTGTAATTCGTGTAAATTTTTAAAAATACTGCGCATTTTTCTTGACCCGGTTTTCCCCCAGACGACATGATGCTCGAGTCAGCAGAGATCGTCGCTGAGCACGCCGCTGAGGGTGGATTCTACGGATAAGTTCCTCAACCAATCCCCCGGACTGTTACAAGCGCAAGAGTTGTACAACGGTGTTGTCATGGTGACAACAGTGTTGTTGTCATAACGACGACAATATTGTCATAAAACCGACGACAGCGCTGTCAACTTTTGTGTGTTTTGGTTTTTACTCCTTTACGGACACGGACATCTCGTAACCACTATATCGTCGTAGCGTTTTTCGGTAGCTCTTATGTAAAAACTTTAGATGATGGTTCTAGAATGTTCGATAATGTTCTAGAATGTTCGAGAATGTTCTAGAACTTCAGTAGATGACAGTGCAGATTGTGCTTGTTGTAGTTTGTAGCTTAATTAGACAGTTTGATGTTTTAAACAAGAAAATAATATGTTTTAGAGTTATGATGTACTGAAGTTCGCCCTGATTTCCCCTGATCTTGCATTAACTTTTAATATATCGCTTTTCATTTTGTCTCCTCTAATTTTAAAACAATTCTGTCCAACTGGTTTAAAAAATCAGGATCATAAATTTGTTATTCAAATTTCATGAAATTAGACTGAAAATAATGTTTTTTCTACAAGACCTGTCAAGTCCTCAATGTGAACTATAAATACCACAAAACCATTAATAACGCGAGCAATCCCAGGAGTTTACCAAAAGTAACCATGTTGACATCTTCAAAGAAGGTGATGCGCCATTGAAGCATTCCCAAAACTAAAGTTGATGATATTACGACCAGAAGAAGTGAACATCTCGTTTTTTTAAAACGACACGAAATTCAAAATTTTTCGAGTAAGAATTATTGCCCAAAGATAATTCGATTCATGATTTTTTGGGCAAAATTGTTACTTAATTACCTAAAAATTTCGGGTTTTACCAGTGCAGTAATCTAAGTCCTGCTTATTCTACTTCTCCTTTTTCTTCTCCTGTTCTTTCTTCTCTCTTTTCTCCTTATTCCTTTCTTTCTCCTTAATTTCCTCCTCCTCTTCTTGTTCCTCAGTCTGACAATCTCTTCCTTCTCCTCATTCTCTACCTTTCTCTCAATCTCATTCTCGTCCTTCTCTTCTGGTTAATGCAGTATGCACTATAATCTCCTTGTTCTCCTTCTATTTCTCCTTCTCCCCTCCTTTTCCTCCTCCTTCTCAGTTCGGCGAATGCATTGTTCAAAAAATCAACTATCACATCACAATCATTCGCTGCTTACAAACAAACTATTTTGTCGCGAACTGTTGCAGTCTGTGTTCAGTGTACTTGGCATTTAAAGAACTTCGACAGTAAGGTATTAACACAGAAGTAAAGGGCATGGGTTAGCTTAGAGAACGCAAAATAATTTGGAGGAGAATGTCAACATAAAATGAACTTGAGATTATATAACTTAGGGGATATGGTTAAATTATATGAAGGGGTAAACTCTGACTGGGGTCCTCAGAATAAATAATACCGGGGTACAGGAACACATGAGAAAGCCAGTGGAACATCGTTGGGAATTCTAAGGAACAAAACCTTAAAGGAAAGGCTATTTAAGATGTAAAGACTTAATAAAGATGGTCTCTATAAAGAGTACCTGGACATTGTTGAGTAGCGCAAGCTTCTGTAACCACTCCACCCTGATCCCCACCACAATCAACTCCACCACGTGCAGGGACAGGATCAGTGCAAGTTCTGGTTTTGTACCGTGTTCCTCCACCACATGTTACTGTACACACTGACCAGTCTGTCCAGCCGGTCCACCCACCGTTAACTAAATCGGTTACTGTTACAATAATGTAACTGAAATACAACCACTAAATCGGTTACTGTTACAATAATGTAACTGAAATACAACCACTAAATCGGTTACTGTTACAATAATGTAACTGAAATACAACCACTAAATCGGTTACTGTTACAATAATGTAACTGAAATACAACCACTAAATCGGTTACTGTTACAATAATGTAACTGAAATACAACCACTAAATCGGTTACTGTTACAATAATGTAACTGAAATACAACCACTAAATCGGTTACTGTTACAATAATGTAACTGAAATACAACCACTAAATCGGTTACTGTTACAATAATGTAACTGAAATACAACCACTAAATCGGTTACTGTTACAATAATGTAACTGAAATACAACCACTAAATCGGTTACTGTTACAATAATGTAACTGAAATACAACCACTAAATCGGTTACTGTTACAATAATGTAACTGAAATGCAACCACGGTTTGGTATGATATGGAAGCATGTATAGTAGGGTGACCTGGAATTAACTGAATTTGTAGACTGATTTTCGACGAATGTGCTAAATTTAATCTTACCCCTTATTGCGTAGATTATCACAAGAGTTATAGCTGCAATTTTAACTGCTACTAGAATCAACCAAAACGTCCAACCTGAAAAATGTTATTGTGAAACTCGATGCTGATCGTTTCATCTGGTACTAAACTCCGAATTTATTTATAAGACAAGTTAAGATTAGGACATTCGGTCAATAATAGTAATACGAACCAGCTAAAGTACGTATAGGACATTTAAAGATTGAATGATAATCTGCGGCTAAATCTTGGGACCCTCTTTCTTCACCAACAGTAGAAGATACAACAGTCTCACGACCATGAGCTTCAGCATCATGAACATCTTCAATTTTATTGGAGCGATCAAACATGATAACAATTGTTGAGACCACACATAGTCATAGTACGACTGTTCGAAAGAAAAGAATTGAAACAAAGAAAAAAATCGAAGATAATTATCCATTTTTGATTTTAGATACACAATCTCGGTGATATCGTGCTATGAATATAATTTTATAGTTGTATTATATCATGCTTGTGAATATTTGCACTTGTAAATTTTTTAACTCTGCATAAAACAGTAATTCTCTCGGGAAGATGATTCACTTAAAGAAATTAGTTGCTTGGAGATCTTGGAGGCTTAAAACACTTTAAATTGGGTATGTATAATTTAAATTTATATGGTATGTATAAAAAATGATATGTATAAAGTCTACAATGGGAAGAAGGGTAAAACCGTGTGCAATAAAATAGTAAACAATTTAATAAATTTCCATATAATTATATATATATAGTCTCAAGTCAATTGTGGGTGGCTAATTGTATAGTCTCAAGTCTATTGTGGGTGGCTATTTGTATAGTCTCAAGTCAATTGTGGGTGGCTATTTGTATAGTCTCAAGTCTATTGTGGGTGGCTAATTGTATAGTCTCAAGTCTATTGTGGGTGGCTATTTGTATAGTCTCAAATCAATTGTGGGTGGCTATTTGTATAGTCTCAAGTCTATTGTGGGTGACTAATTGTATAGTCTCAAGTCTATTGTGGGTGGCTATTTGTATAGTCTCAAGTCTATTGTGGGTGGCTAATTGTATAGTCTCAAGTCAATTGTGGGTGGCTATTTGTATAGTCTCAAGTCTATTGTGGGTGGCTAATTGTATAGTCTCAAGTCTATTGTGGGTGGCTATTTGTATAGTCTCAAGTCTATTGTGGGTGGCTATTTATATAGTCTCAAGTCTATTGTGGGTGGCTATTTGTATAGTCTCAAGTCTATTGTGGGTGGCTATTTGTATAGTCTCAAGTCTATTGTGGGTGGCTATTTGTATAGTCTCAAGTCTATTGTGGGTGGCTATTTGTATAGTCTCAAGTCTATTGTGGGTGGCTAATTGTATAGTCTCAAGTCTATTGTGGGTGGCTAATTGTATAGTCTCAAGTCTATTGTGGGTGGCTATTTGTATAGTCTCAAGTCTATTGTGGGTGGCTAATTGTATAGTCTCAAGTCTATTGTGGGTGGCTAATTGTATAGTCTCAAGTCTATTGTGGGTGGCTATTTGTATAGTCTCAAGTCAATTGTGGGTGGCTATTTGTATAGTCTCAAGTCAATTGTGGGTGGCTATTTGTATAGTCTCAAGTCAATTGTGGGTGGCTAATTGTATAGTCTCAAGTCTATTGTGGGTGGCTAATTGTATAGTCTCAAGTCAATTGTGGGTGGCTAATTGTATAGTCTCAAGTCAATTGTGGGTGGCTATTTGTATAGTCTCAAGTCTATTGTGGGTGGCTAATTGTATAGTCTCAAGTCTATTGTGGGTGGCTAATTGTATAGTCTCAAGTCAATTGTGGGTGCCTATTTGTATAGTCTCAAGTCTATTGTGGGTGGCTAATTGTATAGTCTCAAATCTATTGTGGGTGGCTATTTGTATAGTCTCAAGTCAATTGTGGGTGGCTAATTGTATAGTCTCAAGTCTATTGTGGGTGGCTATTTGTATAGTCTCAAGTCTATTGTGGGTGGCTATTTGTATAGTCTCAAGTCTATTGTGGGTGGCTATTTGTATAGTCTCAAGTCTATTGTGGGTGGCTAATTGTATAGTCTCAAGTCTATTGTGGGTGGCTAATTGTATAGTCTCAAGTCTATTGTGGGTGGCTATTTGTATAGTCTCAAGTCTATTGTGGGTGGCTATTTGTATAGTCTCAAGTCTATTGTGGGTGGCTAATTGTATAGTCTCAAGTCTATTGTGGGTGGCTATTTGTATAGTCTCAAGTCAATTGTGGGTGACTATTTGTATAGTCTCAAGTCTATTGTGGGTGGCTAATTGTATAGTCTCAAGTCTAATGTGGGTGGCTAATTGTATAGTCTCAAGTCAATTGTGGGTGGCTAATTGTATAGTCTCAAGTCTATTGTGGGGGGCTATTTGTATAGTCTCAAGTCAATTGTGGGTGGCTATTTGTATAGTCTCAAGTCTATTGTGGGTGGCTATTTGTATAGTCTCAAGTCAATTGTGGGTGGCTATTTGTATAGTCTCAAGTCTATTGTGGGTGGCTATTTGTATAGTCTCAAGTCAATTGTGGGTGGCTATTTGTATAGTCTCAAGTCAATTGTGGGTGGCTAATTGTATAGTCTCAAGTCTATTGTGGGTGGCTATTTGTATAGTCTCAAGTCTATTGTGGGTGGCTATTTGTATAGTCTCAAGTCTATTGTGGGGGGCTATTTGTATAGTCTCAAGTCTAATGTGGGTGGCTATTTGTTTAGTCTCAAGTCTATTGTGGGTGGCTATTTGTTTAGTCTCAAGTCTATTGTGGGTGGCTATTTGTATAGTCTCAAGTCTATTGTGGGTGGCTATTTGTATAGTCTCAAGTCTATTGTGGGTGGCTATTTGTATAGTCTCAAGACTATTGTGGGTGGCTATTTGTATAGTCTCAAGTCTATTGTGGGTGGCTATTTGTATAGTCTCAAGTCTATTGTGGGTGGCTATTTGTATAGTCTCAAGTCAATTGTGGGTGGCTATTTGTATAGTCTCAAGTCTATTGTGGGTGGCTATTTGTATAGTCTCAAGTCTATTGTGGGTAGCTATTTGTATAGTCTCAAGTCTATTGTGGGTGGCTATTTGTATAGTCTCAAGTCTATTGTGGGTGGCTATTTGTTTAGTCTCAAGACTATTGTGGGTGGCTATTTGTATAGTCTCAAGTCTATTGTGGGTGGCTATTTGTATAGTCTCAAGTCTATTGTGGGTGGCTATTTGTATAGTCTCAAGTCAATTGTGGGTGGCTATTTGTATAGTCTCAAGTCTATTGTGGGTGGCTATTTGTATAGTCTCAAGTCTATTGTGGGTAGCTATTTGTATAGTCTCAAGTCTATTGTGGGTGGCTATTTGTATAGTCTCAAGTCTATTGTGGGTGGCTATTTGTTTAGTCTCAAGTCTATTGTGGGTGGCTATTTGTTTAGTCTCAAGTCTATTGTGGGTGGCTAATTGTATAGTCTCAAGTCTATTGTGGGTGGCTATTTGTATAGTCTCAAGTCTATTGTGGGTGGCTATTTGTATAGTCTCAAGTCTATTGTGGGTGGCTATTTGTTTAGTCTCAAGTCTATTGTGGGTGGCTATTTGTATGGTCTCAAGTCAATTGTGGGTGGCTATTTGTATAGTCTCAAGTCAATTGTGGGTGGCTATTTGTATAGTCTCAAGTCTATTGTGGGTGGCTATTTGTATAGTCTCAAGTCAATTGTGGGTGGCTATTTGTATAGTCTCAAGTCTATTGTGGGTGGCTATTTGTATAGTCTCAAGTCAATTGTGGGTGGCTATTTGTATAGTCTCAAGTCTATTGTGGGTGGCTATTTGTATAGTCTCAAGTCAATTGTGGGTGGCTATTTGTATAGTCTCAAGTCTATTGTGGGTGGCTATTTGTATAGTCTCAAGTCAATTGTGGGTGGCTATTTGTATAGTCTCAAGTCTATTGTGGGTGGCTAATTGTATAGTCTCAAGTCAATTGTGGGTGGCTATTTGTATAGTCTCAAGTCTATTGTGGGTGGCTATTTGTATAGTCTCAAGTCTATTGTGGGTGGCTATTTGTATAGTCTCAAGTCTATTGTGGGTGGCTAATTGTATAATCTCAAGTCAATTGTGGGTGGCTATTTGTATAGTCTCAAGTCTATTGTGGGTGGCTATTTGTATAGTCTCAAGTCTATTGTGGGTGGCTATTTGTATAGTCTCAAGTCTATTGTGGGTGGCTATTTGTATAGTTTCAAGTCAATTGTGGGTGGCTATTTGTATAGTCTCAAGTCTATTGTGGGTGGCTATTTGTATAGTCTCAAGTCAATTGTGGGTGGCTATTTGTATAGTCTCAAGTCTATTGTGGGTGGCTATTTGTATAGTCTCAAGTCTATTGTGGGTGGCTAATTGTATAGTCTCAAGTCAATTGTGGGTGGCTATTTGTATAGTCTCAAGTCTATTGTGGGTGGCTAATTGTATAATCTCAAGTCAATTGTGGGTGGCTATTTGTATAGTCTCAAGTCTATTGTGGGTGGCTATTTGTATAGTCACAAGTCTATTGTGGGTGGCTATTTGTATAGTCTCAAGTCAATTGTGGGTGGCTATTTGTATAGTCTCAAGTCTATTGTGGGTGGCTATTTGTATGGTCTCAAGTCAATTGTGGGTGGCTATTTGTATAGTCTCAAGTCTATTGTGGGTGGCTATTTGTATAGTCTCAAGTCTATTGTGGGTGGCTATTTGTATAGTCTCAAGTCTATTGTGGGTGGCTATTTGTATAGTCTCAAGTCTATTGTGGGTGGCTATTTGTATAGTCTCAAGTCTATTGTGGGTGGCTATTTGTATAGTCTCAAGTCTATTGTGGGTGGCTATTTGTATAGTCTCAAGTCTATTGTGGGTGGCTATTTGTATAGTCTCAAGTCTATTGTGGGTGGCTATTTGTATAGTCTCAAGTCTATTGTGGGTGGCTATTTGTATAGTCTCAAGTCTATTGTGGGTGGCTATTTGTATAGTCTCAAGTCAATTGTGGGTGGCTATTTGTATAGTCTCAAGTCTATTGTGGGTGGCTATTTGTTTAGTCTCAAGTCTATTGTGGGTGGCTAATTGTATAGTCTCAAGTCAATTGTGGGTGGCTAATTGTATAGTCTCAAGTCTATTGTGGGTGGCTATTTGTATAGTCTCAAGTCTATTGTGGGTGGCTAATTGTATAGTCTCAAGTCTATTGTGGGTGGCTATTTGTATAGTCTCAAGTCTATTGTGGGTGGCTATTTGTATAGTCTCAAGTGGTACACGTAAGTATCACGGTGCCCGGTGGTTGATTAAATTATGAAAAGTGAAAACGACGGACAAAAACAAATGACTGTTATTAACAACGCTGAGAATAAGCTAATAGTAAGACATTACAAACCTGATAATGTACGAGGTGGACATTTTAAAATGGAGCGACACCACCCAGTATCCTTAGCAACTTTAGTTTGCTGACCATCATCTACTGTTACTGTGACATTTTCATTAGGTTGTTCATCACTGTCGCACAAATCAGACGGTGGTTCACCGTTTAGTGCATTAATAGAACCTGGAGCTTCGAGTTGTTGAAAATCATCAGCTGCAACATTCACAATCACATTTTGCGATTCACAGTCGTTATTCGGAGTGACCTCCATAGCACTTGTAATACAAGTGCTGTATACAAGTGTTGTATTTGTTGTGGAATACGATTTGCTCAGCTGTACTGCCTGAAGAACAGTTCATAAGTAAGATATCCTTGACTAATTAAACCAATTAGCAAAATAGTTTAACTAACAATATAGTGCTCAATTAACAAAACAATCACAACTTTACCTTAATGTTAATGATGATAAACAATGCAAATACCCAGCGCAATAATGTGTAAGTAAACTGTGTATAAATTCGCCCTCACAGAGATTCTCCGTGTAACAATATAATAGGTTTCGTACGTGAGCCAGTATAAGTGTAAGTGTACACTCAGAAGTAAGAATGTTTAGTTGAGTAATCATATAAAGAAAAGTACTAGGAACTTGTTTTGAACGAGTGTGCTGTTTGCGGACATATAAGAATATATATGTATATATTAATGCTTTTCATGCAAACAAGTTACAACAAATATCAAATTCTTTATGTAGTGCATCCTGGGTTTAGACAGGATATGCCCGCTTAAAATACTTCCATCGCGTCAATAAATGTAATAGATTAATTGTAGTATTGTAATTAGTTTATATATATATAATTATATTCGTCACTTCTGATCGCGACAATACAAACAGTGTAAAACCAACAATTTTGACAAAGCCACAACGCAGCTTCCCAACAACCGATTTGCAGAATTCAAAAAGGGACATTTTAAAAAGAAATTGCTGAATTTTGGTTGCTCGGTAAGAATTTTGCCAATTATTCTCAATTTTCTTGTTGTGCTCCACAACTATACTTCTGTATACTTCAGTCATTGGGCTGATGACTCCAGTGGAAGGGCTGGTGACTCTAGTGGAAGTGTTGGTGACGATGAGAAAGACCATAAACCAGGGATTCCTTCGGGAGCATGTAAGATTATATCCTTTTGTTCGCCAATGGGGTGTGTCTGGGTGTCAAAGATCTTCAAGGTGGGTGCTACTTGTGATGAACTCTAGAAGGATGGGGTGGTAATACTCGGTCTGGCCGTCTGGAAGCCCATAGAATTCCAGTTCAGAAACCGAGTAAGGAGGTGCGGCTACTGATGAGAAGCCTCCTTAAAGTTTATTTGGGTTAGAAACGACATCTGGGTCCCTACCCTCGCACAAGATTATTCTCAATTTTCTTGTTGTGTTCCACAACTATACTTCTGTATACTTCAGTGATTGGGCTGATGATTCCAGTGAAAGGGATGGTGACTCTAGTGAAAGTGGAATTTTTATACATATGTTTAAGAACATTAAATGTTTTGCCAGTGATACCTAGTTTAGCTAATTTTAAGAAAAGAGCTTCACGGCAAACAGAGTCGAAGGCTTTCCGGAAGTCCACAAAAACAGCATAGACGGGAACCTTGATGATTCATGATGGTATGAAACCAAATGGAGGTACTGGAAGTCAAAATGCCAAAGAAAATTGAAAAATAATATTGTCGAATTTTCTGTTCCATTTTCAGTTTTTGAAGATGAAATTTCCAGGATCGAAATTTTATAGTTTTAATGGACGGACTTTCAAGACTTCTTTGTCTTGCATGTCCCAGGAACGATCATATAGTTTAAAGTTTATGGCAGGATCACTGCCGAAAGCTGCATCCTGTCCAAAATTCTGTTAGCAGATGAGTATTAATGGCGAACATTTTGCCGTATAAGGCGAACATTTTTTAAAGATTTTGCTTGTGCAAAAGGGCTAGCGCCTAGATGATCAATTTGGCACTAGAGATCATTTTCAAACACAGTTTTAAGAACGATTAAAATAATACGGTTCTAAATGCATATTAGAGCCTGCCACCAGCTCTTGCTAAATAAGTGTGGTTCGAAAAAGGGATGCATATTGTATTCTTCCAAGAAATAATTTCAGGAAGCTTGGTTTCAGGAGTGAAATCTAGCAATGTGAAATGATAAATCCAGCAAGATTTTGTGTTGGCTCATTTGTTAAAATTATGAAGGATTTCACGCTAGGAAATTACTGAAAACTGGTCAAAATGGGGACCCGTGGAAAAACTTAGCTCATGATATTACTATTGGCCAGCTAGCTAGCATGATTATAATGGGGACACCTAAACATAAATGCGGACACCTAAACATAAATGCGGTATCATTTCGGCTATATAGCACGTGGGTACTTGCGCGCGCACCAACTCTTCTATATTATAGTCGTTTGTCGGCCGCGCTCAGTATACTATACTAGAACTTTTAATGGCAACAGGACTAATATGATCAGTCTCATGCTGAAGACTTAAAGTGGATACTATTACTTCATAAATCATAAATCATACTTGCGATGACTTGACTTATTTCTTAAATTAAAATGAACTATTTACACTAAATTTCGCTAATTTCAGTAAGTGTAACTCAATTCATTTTTTTGTATCGAATTTTTGGATAAAGTTGATTGATTAAAAATAAATTAATGTACACAAATTTTGCCTCAGATATACAGGGTGGGCCAAAAGTCAGTGTGCAAACGTTGGGTCTTATACCTCCGCCGCGTTTTATATTTGAGAGCTGTTGCTTTGCAGATGGCATACTGTACTTACTGGTTCGAGGATTCCGTCGTCAAAATTTGGAAATTCGAATATTTTAGACCACGCCCATTCAATATTAAAACACCTATATTGTTTTCTCTGAACATGCTGAACGCCTAATTTTTTTCAGAGACAGTAGATTATCAAATGTTGCATATGATCTGAAAACATGAGGCAAAATATGATGTGAGCCGAAATGATACCGCATTTATGTTTAGGTGTCCCCATTATAATCAGAAACACTGTGTTATTTCAGTTAAGGAGCTCCTCATTATATTTTGAAGTCTTTAGTCGCGAGAGGGCAAATATGCCACCCACTGTTCCAAATACTGTTAAGTATTCTGAAACGTTAAATTGTACAGGCTCGAGAGTCTCGATTTTTTTGTGACACATGGCAGCCATTTTAGGGTTTGAATAGTCGAATCTGATTGGTTAAGTTCTGTCACGTGTCAAAAGATATGCTTCACCTCACCCCAGAATTCACATTATGCACGTATGCGGTACGATGTTTTAAATACTTTCAACACTACTATATAACAAATAATTTGAGAATATGAGTATGACGTAGAAATGTCGATAAGTTATTCAGCTATTTATTTCCATTAGAATCTGTCTTCACTGAGTCTATTCAGAAACAATCAGAAATTTGAACAAAAGAACTATCAAAATGAGACTCAATAACACTACACGAATCCACCAGATGTTTTGAATGTTTTGTAAAATGATTTTTTAAATTTGGTATTGTTCCCGTTATGTTAATTACCAACAGCTTAGGCCAGCAACTCTGTTGTCTTCCCCTCCTGAGCAAATGTGCAGCCAGGGTGGTCGATGTTGTATTGATTCACTGCATCTTTTAAGAATACCCTCCATGAGATGTTGGTTGGGACTTTAGGAGCACACATTTTAGTGAACATCTCTCGTTGACACCGTCCGTCATCATTGTCAGTGTAGCAGGTGTATCTCTGGAACATTGTCTCCATTACAGAGCCATACGACTCAATAATGGCCTCAGAAGCACAGTCGACTAGGCATTTTAGAAAGAGGAGAAGGGGTCCAGGCTGGCATTTTTTCCAAAACCTGTCACAGGTGAACAGCGCTCTTGCTGCTAAATCAATTGTCGGCACTGCCTTGTCCTTTATCCACACACAGGCTTCTTGAAACACATCTCTAACCCTCTCTATCTCCACCGTTGACAGCTGCGATCTCCAAGGTTGAATAAACAAATGCTCCATGATGTCAAGATTGAAGATGGTGTTCACTTTGAACTCTGGCACCAGCTCTTCAATCTCTTCGAATTCGGTGCTGCTGCATTTCTTAGTAGAGCATGCCGTGGCACTGGTGAAAGCCTGACATTTTTACACATCTAAAAATTGCCCGGTTCACGCCAAAGATAGCAGGGGTTACCTGCACAGATCGGCCAGCGATGAAGTTGATCAAAGCAGCAGCGTTTTGGATGAGAGGAACATCTTGCTTACGCTTGTTAGAGTTTATTTGGACCACCCATCCAAAAGTAGGAGCTGTACTGCACCTGCAGCTGGTCAAGAAGGTTTTTACCAAGACCCAGGATCATCTCCATCCTGACCTCTGGCTCCTCCGTCATCCGTGTCCATCTCCCTCCTGTCCTGCTTGTCCCTGTTTCTCTCTGATCGGGTCCTTCCTTCGTCTGGGGCAAGGTAGCCAGGGATTCCCAGTTCACATTTTTGCAAAGAATTCCCGAAGGTGGTACAACATGATGGGAGTGGGGAATGTTTCAAACTTCAGCTTTGACAGAGCCTCTCTCCCTAGGTCTACCAGATTTACATATTCAGCTATATTTAGATGTTTGGACTGTCCTGCCAAACTGAACTGTGAAACAAACTGAATGGTGTTGTTTATTAAAGCCAGTTTGGGCACAAAGTCTTTGTGCTGAAGCATTTTCGATACCTTGAGAAGCTTGTCCCTCGTTTGTTTTAGAACAAGCTTCACATCTGCTGCTGCCTTAGCCTTTCCCTCCCCCTTTCTCCTCCTCAGACTGAACCGCGGGTTCCTCTGTCCCTGTGGTGCTTTTCTTTTCTTTCACTGGCCCTGGTGTAACTGTTTTCGTTTTCTTCAGTTTCACCATTTCCTGTTGGATCACACCGAGGATCACTTTAAAATGGTTTATAAATGTTGTGAACTGCTGCTCGACATGTTTTACGAACTTGAGCTTTTTCAAAGCAGAAGGCTGTGGCATCCTTATCTTCTCGGCCATGCATGAAGCATGGTACGTCTCGTACTAGGAGTTAGCCAGATTACTAATTATGGCGTTCACCCCGTCAATGATCCTGACTATCTTAGGGCACTTCGAGACAGCATTCGACCACATCAGCTCCCACATGTGAGCTATGTCCCAAAGATTGAATAGACCCTCTAGGCAGTTCTGCTCCTCTATGTTCTGAAGCACATTATTGTTTAGATATTGTCCATCCCCGCACAGCCCTACAAAATTTTTCATTGAAGAAATAGTTGTCCCACATGTCTCAAGCTCACTGAAAATAAGTCTGGCCAAGCCTGATCCAGTGACGTCAATGGCGGAGGGGTGGCTGAAATACAGGAACTGTATAAACTTCGGGAGGCAAACCAGGTCCTCCAGTTTAGGGTTGGGGTTGCCGAAGTCAGCGAGCTTTATAACCCTAGTACCTGCTTAGCTCGGTGTTTCACCGTATCCTTATCAGCACTCACTGACTCACTGCAAAAGGAGTAAGGACACTTGTGTGCTCCCCACAGAAGTGGACAGGGGTAGCTAGCTGTTTACTCAGCCTATTGATCCGAACTTTGTAGAACACATCTACCCATTTAGGAGGAGCTGCTGCAGAATGGTTTTGAAATCCCACGTTCACACCTGCTGAAATGTTAAGGACGATTCTCATGGGGTACGAGTTAAAACTGTCCTCCAGATGCAATGTATGCCCATGAGGACTAATCCAGCGCAATTCGTCATGGCCTCCTCGTTGTTCCTCCTTATCTTCTCTCTATCAACCCCGTTTTTTGCCCGCCACTGTGTCTGGTGTTTTTCTCCGACCAAATGTTTAGTAACCATAGTAACCACATAGTAACCACCTAGTTACGACCAAATGTTTTGAAAATGTCTGCTTTTTAGCGTGAAAATCACTTGTTAGTTTCCCATTTTCACTAACACTGACCTTCTTGAAGCACTTGGTCGTAGACTTCCTTGTCCAATACCTTGGACCAAGGACTCTGTCCAACGTTCCTGAAAGTTGACTGTTAAGCAGAGTTACAATCAGCCTTTTACTGTAAAAGTTTTACATGATGCATTGTGCATTTATTATGTAAATTGAACGTTTATTAACGATTAAGCTGTGATAATACGGACATAAAATTAACTTGTTTGCACTTACTTTAGCTTCCTGCTGTTAAGGATATGCTTTTTGGACTTCTCGTGGATTCTTTTCCCAGTCTCGTGATAGGGTCTGTTGCAGAACGAGCAGTGCCAGCTAGCACGAGAGCTCGATGAGCCTTGCTTAGCCTACAGGAATAGTCATTAGAAATTAGAAGTCAAAATGTTATGGTCTAATAATCTAATTATCCAATTAACATTGAACTTGGCTGACAATTGCACACCCACTATTTAGTATTTACGTCTGGGCTTCTTACCTTTTTGGGAACAGACCCTGGGGAGCCAGCACGATTTCTCTTCACCCCTTGACCTCCAGGATTGTGATATACGGGGGCACTCTCACTCTCACAGTCCTGTGGAAAGGTTATGTCAGCGATCTGCAACTAATAAAAAGTTTCTGGCGATAGAATTAGAAATGTGGAAATTCTGGCGATAGAAATGAAGTCATTTATGTGACCGTGCACGGTGCAGTGTATATTGACCTCCACTTTTCTAGTGCTGCAATTTGATTGTATCATTTATCAACTCATTAGTTGTAGAGAATTACAACATCAACTTACAGTAGCTGCTCAAACTAAAAATGGATTGTTTAAAAAACTAATGACTATTAATTCGTGGATCATAAAAGTATTGAAATAAAGAAGTAGCAGTCATTTATTACAGCTTTACAGTTCCTGGGCAATAATATTTTCAATACCTTCATTTAAGTCACCATTGTTGTTGTGATCAGCTGTGGCTTGAAAGGAAATAATGTCCATCGACTTTATTATCTTCCCTAAGCTCGTTCATACATTTGGTAGCTGTCCATTAAGTAATATCACCCTGAGAGTAGAAATGTTAATCACTAATAAACCAATTAAGACTTATAAACTGTTGGTGAAAGTGTTTAGCCATCATTTTTATCCAAGTGTGGGAATCTATATCATGTAAATTTATTTTGTACAATGTAAAATATACATTCATCTTGATGATAACAGTTTTTGTTAAAGCATATAATATCCTCTTTATTCTAAGATTCTATGTAAATCTGTAAAATCCCACCTTATCATTAGTAGGTCTATTATTCCATCTGAATTGGCGTTTCTGCGACGATATCCTCGTTTGCTCTTACTTGCGATGCTCCCTCAATTTGATCTCCCATTTCTACTGCAGTAACTTGCAATCTTAAATATGTAGTTCCTCTTGAACATCTAGCAGTAAAATTTCTGAATGCCTCACCAAACAACTCTCTGAGAGTGTTATCATAAAGTAAAGGGTTGATGACCGAATTGAGGGGTAAAACTATCATAGCGAAGGTGACGTACCAATCTGTAGCGTCGATTGTTTCGAGATTGTGGAGCCCGCTGATGATTATAAATGGAACCCAACAGGCAAAATCTGTGGCCTGTGCCCTGTATTGCTCGGTTTCTGCGGACAGCATCTGGATTGCTGTTTTGCCCAGAATTCCTGGATGATTGTCGAGATATAATGTTGATAATCAAATAAGACACGGTTATCACCACAAAGCAGAAAAGGTTGACGCCCAACATAAGCCAAACTATCATATTTCCTTTCACGCCGATCATTTCCGTTTCTAAATCCGATGTAATGCCGCCGGCTTATTCTTAATTACGGGATCAGATTTGATCTCTAATCAGTGATAGTGATTAGGCAACATAACCTGCATAATATTAGAATAATATATCCTGATTTAACACTTTGTTTAAATTGGGATGGTTATGTCTTATATAATATACTATATTGATACTTTTATCAAGTATAAACTGGGTTAAAAACCTCAATTAGGTATAATTCAGGAATTAAACACAATTAGAAGACTGTGAATATGATTACTTTTTTTCTGTTTGAGATTTGAATAACGTTACTGTAATGTTCCAAATTATATTTTAAAATGTTAATATCATGTAAAAATACCTTAAAGGTTGGAGTAAAGAAACTATTTTCAAACGCTTAACAGTATATTGTGTCATCATTATCGAACGAGCGAAACAAACTGGAAATCATGCCAATAGGGATATTATTTTTTTAAAGATGTGATGTAATAGGTGTACTATACCAACTATACATGTAGGTATAGTAACTCAATCCAAGGATGATAATAATTTTACCAGCTTTGGCATGATCACACTGCATGAAAATAAATGCTCAGATATTGATTAAAACAGAAAACTT